AAAGGGTAGAAATTGAATTAAACCAACGCAAAGAAGAAGTGCGACTAAGAGCGTGGACAAATTTAAACGATTACATCAGAAAAATAAGTTATTGAAAGGAATGGAAAAAAGCATGACAAAAAAGGTATGGGGCTGTTCACTTATTACGTAACGCGAAAAAATGACTTCTTAGACCCCCCCCCTCGTAACAAAATTTGTTTGAACCGTAACAAAATCTTAGACCCCCCCTCCCCCCAAAAGCGTTACGTAATAAGTGAATGGCCCCTATGTGAATAATGGTAGAAAAAGTGGCTTCATGTGTGTAAGCTGATATGACTTTTCAAGGTTTTCATGCAAGTCACAAAAATTCTCATATGTTAGTGGGTCGTTCATTAATGACGTCTGTTTTGTTTAAGATTCATAGTGCATTTATAAGTGAAATTCTCAGTGCTAGAATGAGGCTTCTGTGGCCGAAGTGATTGGGTGAAAGACTTGCAAACTTATTTCATGTGAAGTAAGGTTCGATTCCTTACAGAAACTAATCCACTAATTATTACACAAAATGTTGTTGATATGACAAGAATTCGCACAAAGCTTAAAAGATATGAAAACTATTCACAAACAAGATCTTCGTCATCCTGTTAAGGTTAAACCTAAAGCTATTTGAGTCTCTCTTTATAATGAAATTTGAACTTAACCGAAATTCTAAAGTAAACTTCTTAAAAAAGTAAAGCTACATCAGCTACAGCAATCTATTCCCGTAGCCATTAGCCATTAGCCATCATGCCTTAATGATTCCCCCTTAAAATGTAACTTAAATCAATTTACACAAATCGTGAAAAAGAAAGAAAAACATGAAAATGGATGGAAAGCAGATATATTCCTTAAATTTCAATATCGATTTCTTGCCTTAATGTCATTTTTATGACTGATTTTACTTTATTTGAGCTTTTTAGGATTAACCACCAATTTTATTGATTTTCACGTTTTTTATGAGCCAAGTGAGTGCGTGTGTATGTGTGTACGCATACATAAAGGTTAAATTATTTCATCGGAATTTGTATTTGGACATTTCGAGTGCTGGTTATCAAACAGAAACAGTAGCAATTATAAAACTTTTTCTGAAATTCTGATAAGGGGTCGTTCACTTATGACGTCCATTAAAAAACCTGATTTTTAGATACCCCTCCCCTCCCCCCTCTGTCACAAAAATTCTATAGAAAAAAAATTCCATTGTTTGAACTGTCACAAAATCCTAGACCCCCCACCCTAAATGTCAAACGTCATAAGTGAACGGCCCCTAAATGTAATTATTTCATAATTAGCGGTCAACACTTTGTGCTGACTCACGTTTCGCTTCCATTCATGGAATTTGTTTGTATCACGTCTATTTGTTCAGATGATTATATAATTTTGTAATAACATAGGCTGTCTACATACTGAATAAAGCGGGTGGTCAGACTAGAGTTTGTTGAATTTTCCCACTGTCGTACTATTTTATGGAGAATGAATGAGAGCGGAAGTATGCTATGGGTACGATAAATTGGCAAGGACAATTCTTTTTGAATGCTTTTTTTTAAACAACAACAAAACAGGAAGTTAAATGAATATAACTTGGACATCATGAATCAGATACATTTTAAAGCACTTTTGAAGTTTTTGATAAGGACGACTTACATCAAATCAGCCCTGGTTCAGCATTACATCGTCCTAGTTCCACTATTATATAACGTCAGCTATTAAGAACAGGTCGCGTGCTGTTCAACAGCTGTTGTCAATTATTAAAGAAAGTCGAGCTAGTTCAACTCAAAAATTCTCATTAGCAACAAAACAAAGTCTCCACCTTAGTCCAAATATTATTTAAAAATCAATAAGTCCTCTATTTGTATAAAAAATGTTGAAATGTATAACATTAAGTGGGCGTATAAAAGCACCTCGTGGCATATCAGCTGACGATATCTTGATTAATAATCCCACATAAAAAATTGCTGAACTCCCTTAAAAAATTTTACGTTAAGCACCTGAACTTTTACATTTTTTTCGGACATTGAAGGGAAGTTCCTTTCCGTGTATGACATGAAAATTATCGAGAATTTTTCATCTCTTCTTGCTTGGTTCTTTTTCCATGCTTTTTGTGACGTAAGAATTGGTTCGAAATCGATTTTTCTTTCTTCACAGGCTTTTCTTTTACATACATTCGGCAACTGTGTCCATGAAAATAAAATAACAGCTTTATATTGTTGTTAGCGAACTGGACGTTGTGCTTGAAGTCAACAAATACATATTAACTCGATCATTATCGCGCTGGCAATTAAATCTCAAGCAGTGAACTTATAAATCGAATGTAATGGAAGGAAGAAAGTAAGACAAGGGCATGAGCATTATTATTGAAGTCCTTACGTTTTTTTTCCGCTTCCATTCTTAGAAAATCTATGACAAGAAGGAATAAGAAACTTTATTTATTTTCTTCTTTTAGAATGTAGCATGGCATTCACGATAGCAGCAATAAAAAAACTAAAGAAATCGATAGAATGTGACCAAGAAGTTTAAGAAACAGAAATAAACTATTTTTATTCGTCACGTGATATATTATGTTATGAGAATAAAACTATTTGTACGATTTATGGAATTAGAGAGCGAAAGAAGTTTGTCCTATTTTGTTAAGCGTGACTTTTGTTGAGTTTATTTTATAAAATTAATTTAATTGGAGTCACTTTTGACTTAAGAAGCTAACATGTTGTTCGTGTAATAGAATCAAGGGTAAGAAACTGATGAAATGATCAAAATGTATAAGTTTCGCACCCTTTAATAGAATTTAGAGTCGCACAATTCATGCTACATGCTTCATGCTATAAGATCAAACTTGTTGTAATTTTTAATAAAACAAAGCAGTAAATCAATTCACTTTAAACCCAAAAACTTCATTTTCATTCAAAACTAGCTTAAAATCAGCATTAAAGCAAGAATTTTTGTCATTCCCACAGTGCCCTTAGCAACAATTTCATCCACTAAACGAATAAGAATTTCCATTAGTCTAAAAATTATTTTCTCATTCCTTAAAACTACATTTCCAAGAATGCTTAAACTTGAAATTTAAATACACACGAGAAGAATTCCTTCATTGAGATAGGAATGAAAATTTAATTTAATCAACTTCCATGTCATTTAGAAAAAGAAACAAATGAACTACAAGGATGGTTCTAAAGACTAAAGAGGCAGTTATAAGTCTTGCCTTTTTTCTTGAGCATTTCAATTTACACAAATGGAAGTGAGGATTTTTTTTTCTAGAAAATGAGAGATGTAAAAAAACTTCAAGGTCATGGTTTCTGTCACGCTTTTCTATTTCCTACAATATGAGCTTTTACAAGCGTTTACATTTCATTAAGTTCCGGCATTATCGTAACATTTTCCCTCCATTCTCGGTTATAGTTATGGTCGATGGTAAAAATGTTCGTATGTCAACTCGTTCAACGAACTTTCATGTGATGTGAATTGACGGCTGTGGTTGAAGGACATTTGCTGTATTATTTTAAACAAGCATGAGCTTCCTCACTTCTTATTATCTCTCGAAGATGTCAATATTTGTATGAAGGAGGTTGTCACATGGATATGAAATATTCTTTGGGGTTAATTGAGCCTTAAAAAATTATTTCCATTACATTCATTCTGTTTCGTTTATGGCAATTTTTTGTTCATTTTTAGCACATTTCTCTCAATAAGAGTAGTTCTTGAATATTTCATGTAGGCACACTCAATCGATTTCAATCATCATCTCTGAACATTTTTTTGTTCTCATGCAGATAGTCAATGTGTGTGTGTGTATTGACACAGAAAGAGTCATCAGTGGAAAAGGACGTCATATATTATGATTTATGACTTGCTTTCCATACATTATAGATGAAGAAAGAACAACTCACAAATATTTATGCTTATGTTTATATGAGAATGAAATAAATGTGTGTCTAAAATTCTCGTGCTTCCGTCTGCAGCTATAATACACGAAATTCTTTCAAATGTGTTTTTATGGCGTGAATGGATTATTTTTGGTATATCGATTGGGAAGATGGCTGGTTGAAGAGTTGATATTTAAGAATCTACAGTAAAGATGCAGTAATGGTATATTTTATAGTTTCAAGAGACTCTTTTAATATTGTCAGTACCAAAACAGCAGTTAAAAGCTGTTTTAAGAATCAAAATCAACTCGATGTAAATTTTGGAAACCCATTCTTCCTCAATAAATTGCTGTCAAAAGCAATATCAAAAAACCTATTCTTTTAGGCACTGGTTTCTACTTAGCCCCCCCCCCCCCCCCCCCCCCCGATATTGTTGCTACTTCCAAGGATGGAATTAGATTAAAAATAATAAATTCTGCAACCTTAGTAAAGTCATTTCACAAAAAAACAACGTATGTCAAAAAAAATTGCTTATCACTGTGATAAGTTATCGCATCACCCAGCTTAAGAACCACTGACTTAAATAGACTATCATGAAAAGTACCTAAAGTAATTTCTGAATGTCAAGTTTCCAGGAATAAATCATTAGAAAATGTTCTTTAGCTTTTATCTTAGTTGAGAAAGTAATTTTAAGTTTTCCGAAAACTTTTCTCGTTGAAAAGAAAATCTTTTTCTTTTGAGAAAAGCTTTTTTTTTTGCTTTGTTTAAAAAACGAAAGAAATTTTTAAGGAAATTATTGAAAAAGATTAAAACATAATCTTAACAATTTTTCGAAGCCATTAAAAATGCGCTCTAACCACATTTCAAGTATAAAAATTCATAATGTTCTCCTTCCCGAGTTCCATGTGGTGAATGTACAAAATAAAAGAATTTTCCTTTCACATTTTTCTGTTTATGAATGATTAATCGAGCCAAAACCGTAGCCCCGTGTGCTCCGTCGTGTAGTTTTATTCGCTCATTTTAATCAAGACACTGCGAGCAATGTTTTGTTAATATCGAACAGAATTATGGCGATATGATTGTTGTACATAATAAAATAATAATAATAATATTAAGAAGAAACCTTACCTTTATAAATAATTCCAGCAAGCAAACTCGTTTCCGTACTAAAGACGTCATGAGTGACGTAAATTCGTAACCTTCCCATTCCATTTGGTATCCTTGAATCATATGATTCCTTATCAGAATCACTTAAATTTATTTTCACAACTTTATCACCGAGACTCAAGTATTTCAAGATTTTAGCACTTGGGCCGCAGCCATCACTTTTAACCGATTCAACCATTTTCATCATTTTTATTGTTTCATTGGCATTATTTTCACTAATCGGATTTATGCTATTCATTATGATTGTATCTAAATTAGGTCTACTTGAACTAGAGACATATTGTGTCGGTTGTAAGGACAATGATGAATTTTTTAAGGCATTTAATGCCGTTTCATCGTCGCTATCATTTTGCTGGAGCGTTTCCGTTGATTTATTGATTATCAATTTTTGTCTGTGAATGTTAATCATATCATCATTTCCATCATCATCATTAGTCGTGGCAATAAAATCATGATTATTTTCATTCTCATTAGTATTGTCATGATATTCTATATTCTCACGACTCATACTTGAGAAAATGTCACTAAATCGATTTTCATTGTTCATTATCGTTTCTACTTCTGGATTATTATCATTATTATTGTTCTGTAGCTGTTGCTGTTTTTGTAATTTACTTGATGTTTCGTGAGGCCGATATGCTTCATGACTCCCCTCAATTGAATAAAAATCATTTGCTAATTGTGATGATGATGATGTTTGTTGTAATGGTGGACCTGGCGATCGACCCGGTGCTGGATCATCATAATTGCCTCGTGCTTTATGGCCAATAAATCCAATAAAGAAAAGTAGTAGGAAAATCTGCTTCATTGTTTTTGAACTTGCTGTATGTTTAGTTGAAGTTAATTATAGCATATAACTATTACACATTACTTCCTTTATGCTTTTAATTTTTTAATATTTTCACACATTTACAAGCAATTTGTGATTTATGTTAGGCAGGAACACAAAAAAAACACTTTTTCTGGTGATAAACACACTTACACACAATAAAGCACTCATATACACGTCATGTCACTATACTTCCATAATTTATTCAATTTCACTAGTTTTTTTCATTCATTATTATTGATTTCCTTTTTTCTCATGAATCGGAAAGGTTTTTACATGAAATTTATTGTGGAAGGTTTTTTTTCATCACTTTTGCTGGTATAAGTTTCTTACTCATGAATGATTTTTATTACTTAAACTTGCTCCTTACTATGAATGAATTGAGTTTGTTTTTAACTTTCATAAATCGTTTAAATCAATATTTTTGGTGATTCTTCAGATGAATATTGTTCAATGAAATTATTTTTATGACTTTACGTAATTATTTGTTCAAGCACATTGACTTATAGTACTCTCTTATTGACTTTATCCTTTTTTGGAGAACAATTAATTAAAATGATTAAATTTTCAAAGTTTACTTTAATTTCTGAATAATATTCTTGCGTCAATGACAACGTTGATCGAGTTTTGGATGTTGATTTATTTTTGTTTTCTTAACTTTTGACCTTAAACCTTCTTTCTCAAAACTAGAACAAGGAAAGCTGAATGTTCTTGATATTCTGCTAATTACCAGCATCTGTTAAACTTTTATAACATTTATCCAAGAATTTATTAAATCAATCTGCTTGAATATTATTCAATCCATGTGTTTCTTTCTAATGGCAGAAGTAGATCAAAGATTTCAAAAGAATTAATTCTAATTGAACTTTGAAATTAGACACAAGGGGCCGTTCACCTATTACGTTCGCATTATGGGGGGGGGGGGTGTCAAGAAGTATGTATCGTTCTAGCTGTCGTTTTTTTGAGTAACGTAATAAGTGAACGGCCCCAAGCAAATCTTCAATTGAAGTGAGCTAATTGAATACATCCGAAAGCACAGATCCAAAGCTTTTGATGTTCATCATCATTTATAATCCAATTTTCCCAAAAAAAAAACACATCACATTAGCTCCTACATCATAGCTCTTTATTCTGTATAAATTCTCATTCAGTACTTAGCAAAAAAAACCATTTTCATGACTCCACCTTTATTATGCAACAATACTTCTCTTGAATTTTTATGTTTATTTATAGAATCAATGGAAATTCAGAAGACTTAATCTCGTTTAGCGAGAACGCATAATAAATCCCATTGAGGCTTAATTTTCCAGATTATGCTTCGTATTTTTTGGATTCGGTCTCATATGGGAAATAGATGCTTTGCTTTGGGGCCGTTCACCGTTCACTACAAATTCACACCAAAAACATTTTTTTTAAATTTTCCACCTTTTTTATCAAAATAAAATAAATTATGAACGTTCAGGGGGGGGGGGGGGGGGGGTTGTGAGTTGTAACATATTGTAACAAGGGGGGAAGGGGGGTGAAAAAACTCCTTTTTTTGCGTAACGTAATAAGTGAACGGCCCTATACTGGATTGTGAAGGGAAAGTACTTACGTTGAACAGTTCTTAGAAATCAGTGGAGTTTAAAAAAAATTGTTGAAAAATTCTTTTTGACTTTTGAACTTTAAAATTTCCTCAAACTTGCTCAAACTCAAAATGACGTTACAAGAACATTTTTCACAAAGTTTATTCAACCATATTCAATTGAAGAATCGTCCATTTATGAATAATTAATTAGTTTATTGATTCATATACGTCATTCTAAATTTATACACGCCTGACTTAATTGATATTCAATAAATTTGTCAATAAATATTTGTTCGTCAATAATTAAAAGTAAATTGCGGGAAATGAGAAAATGTTTGAGTGTTTGATAATTTAATGAATATTTATAGTCATTTATGTTAATTGATGTTGTTTAAATCATTACGAATTGAAATCTCAAACTGTGTATTACATGCTGTTCAAAAGATTCATCGAAATTGCAAATTAAAACTATAGTTTCAGCTCAAAGGTGGGAAATCGTCCTTATTTGTGTGTTCAGAAATCAAGAGTTGAATTTCTAAACTTAAAAACTGGCATTTTATCTACAAATTAATGTCCTAAGTTGCATCTAAGACTCAATTATAATTATTTAACCTTAATCAAGCTGCAGATCGTATTCTGAACAAAGAATCAGTTGTAATTAAGTTAATTTTTGAAAATTAATTCAAAGTTTCCTTTTGAAAATTGTTTGAAAGTGTTAGTGAAGTTTAACATTGGGGGTCCTCGATTTGAATAACGAAAAGTAATGAAAAGAAAATTTAAAATATTCTTTTGGTATCAAAATTTTTCACACAAAAAAATAAACAGTTCGATTTGAACAGAATTTCCCTGGAGGAAAAGCACCTACTTAAATCGAGGACCCCAATATAAAGACTGATGTTTGCCACCCCTAGCTTGTGAGCAATCTCTTCCATTAAATTCTCTTCATTTAACATTAAGACAGTCACGTTGAAAAACAATTTCCAGCAAGAATAATGAAAAAGATCTTGGATATCCTCATAATTTTTCAGAAAATCTTCATTCATTCAAATAACAATAAAGCACAAAAATAGAATGTTTTTTTCGCAAGAGGCATAAAAAGCTTTATAATCAATCACTAGAAAATGACAGAAGGAAGCGAATGAAAAGGAGAACGGAAAAGTTCCTCCCTTTTTTACGGTGACTTAAAGGTGACATTCATTTACATTTTATTTATTCCTTACGAAAAAAAATCCATTTTTATCTTCTTTAAAAATTCTCATCGTCATTTAAAAGATGAAGAAAATCACTTCAATCATGAACATCCAAGTTCCTTTACATTCAGCTACAAAATGATTCTCACAATTTAACGTTATTAGTATCAATAATTGATGTAATTAAATTTCTTTTCCCTTCGTGTTCATCACTTCCATTGTTCCTGCTTTTATTTCGCTCACTATGATAGCTGTGCAACAGCATAGACTATACAAAATAAATTGACTTGATGGGGAGTGAAAAAATAAGGCAATTATTTTCACATGAAAGTTTTAATTTTTTTCGCTCGTTGTTCATTAAACTTTTATTTGGGTTCATTATTTTGGGACTTGACAAAATTGAAGTTATTTTTTGAAAGCATTTCCGATTTGTTTTTTTTACAAAAAATATTTTTTTGCCTTTTCAAATTATTTTGTGGCCGTTCACTAATGACGTCCGGGGGGGGGGGGGGTCATCAAGAAAAGAACAATAGAAATTCCTGGAAATCCATTGTTCTTTTATGAAAAATGACAGTTAAATTCGGACGTCATAAGTGAACGACCCCTTTACAGGGATGGTAAACAGAAATGTTGCCATTAAATTTGAATCCACACTAACATTATCAAACATTTTTCAAAAATAATCATTGAATTGGTTTGGTCAAAATTGCCTTTATTACAACTTAGTCTTTGTTTAGAATATGATTAAAAGCCTCATTAAGCTTTCCGAGCATTCCGATTTACATTTCTAGAGCCAGTTTAGGTCGTCAATTAATTGATAAAATGTGAATTTTCCAAAAAAAAAATATAATTTTATTGCATGCGTTCAGAAATTTAAATTTTGACATTTAACTTTGAGAAAATAAGGTACTTTTTGATTTCTGAATACAGAAATAAGGACCGTCCGCAACCCTTTGATTATTTTCATTTATAAAATATTTTTCATCAAACACTCGGAAACCTTCTTAATTTCTCATCACAAACTTTAACCAGCAGAAGATCTGAAGAAAATGACAATTGCTCTACTGAGACTTTATCTTTTCAACAGAATGAACATTTACAGCAACAAAAAAAAAATAATAAGAAATCAATCGCACATCACTGTGAGCACTCTTAAAAATATTTTTTATCGCCACAAAAGACAACAATGGTCATCAAAAGAACTGTGTCTTACATTTCATTCAATTCTCCATTCTTTCTTTCTTTTTTTTGCCACACCAAATCGAGTAGTGGAGCACACGTTAAAGCATTTAAAAAATCGATAGCGCTTAGATTACACTTCACAACAGTCAGAAAGACGAAAGGCAGGAAGGAAAAGAAAGAAACACAATGAAAAATAAACCACTAGCAATGAACATTTATGTATGTGATTCTCCTTTATCCAAATCTATTTTTTAAAAATTTTAATTTTATTCAAAAAAATTATTTTCACTTTTTTTTTATTTTCTAAGAATTTATTATTTTTTTCACTTTTATTAAGCTATAAGCTATATACTTATGTATGGAATTAATAAATAATTGAAATTTGTCATAAACTTTCTAAGTTTTTATGTGATAACCGAATAGTGTGGTTTCTGCGTCTAACAACTGAAACACTCCGATGAAGACTGATGGAAAATTCAACATTTCCTTCCGATTTTTCATGAAAAGCTCTCGAGTCGTGGAAGGATGTGTGAGCTTTTATTGGAAGGACTGAATTCCAAATATATTGGAAACACGTGGCATTAGCATGTGCTAAGTTGCTTGTATACACAAAAATCATATTGTAAATGGAAGTGATTAAATTCCATCCATTGGATTTTAACGGAAGGAAGAGCCTTTTTGAGGGTTCCAAAGTAAAAGTTGCAGCTATCATAAATTCAAATATTTAAACAGTTCAATGCTTAGTTCGTGCATTTATGTTTGAAGAATATAAAGAACAAGTTCGGGAAAGATGAAAGGTAAATATTTGGTGGATCCCAAAGAAAATTTAATAATCTTCTCAGCTCTTACATCTTCTTACTGCTCCTTGTAGCTGCATGAAATGAATTTTAATTTAATTCTCGAGAAGAACAATTTTCTATTGTGATTTATTGCTGTACCTTTTATACCACAAAGTTTTTTTTTCCTTTCTTTCTTCTCTTAACTCCTTTCTCGAGCATTCCTTAAGAATAATTTAATTAGGGTTTACAGACAGTAAAAATAATTGGTGTTTTTCTTTATTTATCCTTCAATGGATTTGGAACAAATTTGCTCTTTCCTTGCTGATTGTGTTAAGCGTTTTAATGCCGTGTTCAGTTTTGTTTCTTTAAATTGTAAACTATTTAAGGATTCTCTTTTTTGTGGAAGATGTTCTTTTGCTCCTGGTTTGGCTGGTAAATAAATTGTTTCTATCCAAATTTTGTTTTTTATAGGTTGATGTAGGTAGCTCATTCAAATTTTAATACAATGTTTTTTTCTGGATAATGATAATCAAAATCCAGACACATAGCAAGGATACTTGTTGAAATCAGGACTAAAGCAAAGATTTATCAAAGATTTATTTCAGGAACCGTTCACTTATGACATCCATCAAAAACCTAACTTTAGACCCCCTCCCTCTGTCACAGATATCAATACCCCCCCCCTTCCCGTGACGTCTACGTAATAAAATTCATAATGCCAGCAAATCATCAACAAGCTATTCATTGGCAACAAAATTCCGTCATAACAAATCAAAATAACAATCAACAGAACAATAGACTGTAAACAATCCTTCACCCTAATTTTCAAAATTGACACAAATATAAACAATCAAATTCCATCACAGAACCACAACTCAATATGACATGCCTCAACATTTAATGGAAGTTCCAAATTCTCATGCACATTTAAAATGCCGCTGCATATTCCTTTACATACAAAATATCGTTTTGGTTACGACCTTAATTTCATGAATTTGCAATTGCTATAGTTACCAAAGTTTTTTTTTACAAACAACTCAGAATTTTTCTTTTATCAAACTTGATTTTATGCTGTCTGATTACTTTTTTTGGAATTAAAAATAATTATGTTACCGAATACTTCAGATAACAAGCGGGTAATTTATATTCATTTTCTATTATCAGCCTGATGAAGGTTACTAATTATCCACAATTCAATTAAAGATTTCCATTTCAATGAACAATTGTCGGCATCTGGATGTTAATGATTATGACAGAATAATTGTAAGGCTCTTCATGATTAACATAATTGATAGAATGATTAATTTGCTTTAATTTATAGCACGGATATCCACCAATTTTAAGAAAATCGAAGCCACTCGAGAGGAATTACAAAGACTCGATCTCATTCACACTTCCATCAATCTCGAGACGAACATCAAGAATTGATAGTTTGAGAAAGTCATCAACCATCAATAAAGACATAGAAATTGTAGACATAGTCTCACTCATTGAGCATCGTGTGAAACATTTAAGACAAAATGCGTTCTTGTACTTGATGTATGCTTATCCATTGTCAAGTGAACTTTTCTCGCCTTACAGCTTTGTTGAAGTTCCGTACTCGAAAGTAGATAAGGCTCATTTCTTTACGATATCAAAAGAAGGATTTACTTTATGGAGCTCAGCTGAGAATCACTTTACGAGAATTGGTGATTGGTATCGAGATTATTTGAATTATTGTAATGTTGCTAAAGTGAGTACTGTGCATGAATGTTTTAATTATCATTTAATTACTGCTGGATGTTAGCATATCACTTGATACCTTGTTTGTTAACTAATATAGCAGTTTTAAACCATTTTTATTATTTATTTTGTCGACGTTACCGTCCGGAAGAATTAGTATTTATACATTTTTTACTTTTTACATTGATTAGTGATACATTTCATATCACTATGAGTGACGTAGAATCAAGCTTCTAATCTTCAAATCTAGGTTTCAAATAAACTAAGGCTCTCGTTTCAATCTTCTGTGGGCGTGACGTGATACATTTCAGGTCCGTTCTGACAATATTCCATTATAAGGTAATCTTGTAGCTCTCGTTCCTATTTCTCCCGCTACACTTTAAGTTCCTGATCCGTTCCTTAATCCAACGTTTCCCAAAATGCCCAATTATGGCTTGACTCGTACATTAAGCAGTCGAAGTATCTAAACTTCTGAAAAAGAACAAATTTGGAAATGGCTGGATTCGAACCGACGACCTTCGAGTTACCATACCAAATTTGAGCCAAGCGCCTTACCTATTCGACCAGCAAGGCACTTAACTGCTTTCAATTTAATCTGCTCAAATTTAGACAATATTGTAATATCTAAATGTCACCCCCCCCCCCCCCCCCCTATGTTACATTTTGTTACAATTTTTCAAGCCCCCCTTCTCCATTAAAATGCGAACGTAATAAGTGAACGGCCCCTAATGTGCTTGAAGGAAAACAAGTTAATGTTTTTCTAGGTGTTGAATTCAAGTTGCTTTCCCCTCGAACCTATTTAACAACTTTCATTTTCCTTCCATCTATTCACAGATCAAATTATTCAAAAGGTTTCGTCTGTGGAAAAGTTTTACAGTTTGGCACAAAGCAATTAAATGGAAGAAGTTTCATGATTGTCGAAACTTTATCGAAGAGAATCTTTTCTTTGCTAATCCAATTTTACACAAAACACTGCTCGAATTACAAACAGAAAATTGTGAATTAATTAAAGAAAAGTTTACACATATCGATATTGTCGAGAATTGGCATCTCTTCTACTTCATTGAGAGTCAAATGGCACAATTTGAGTTGACACGGAATTTATTGTACAAGTTTCGTGATCAAATTGAGAAGAAACTGTTTGATGCGTGCTATCAGGCAATGATTCAAAAAGGTTTCACGCCAGAAGATGAAATCTTGAATTGCAAATCGATTAAGAAGCTTAAGGATCAAATAAGTTTTACGGAAAGAGCTAGCAAGAAAAATTTTTGTTCTCGTTTAACAAATTATTTATACTTGGCAGACTTAATTACCATTAATCTTTTAAGCACCATCCTTTGTGACTCATTTGAAGATTTGACAAAAATATTTCAAATTCACACAAAATATGGTCCATGTTTTGAAAGGTTGAAGGCTAGCAATGAGTTTGAAATGCGATTGGAAGAGCCAAGGCCAATTTATGCACCACAAGATCCATTTCTTGTTGCCGAGCTTGTTCTTAAACCCGATAAAGTTGAAACAGATCCATCACGGGATGTTACACTTTATGTCGTTGGACAAATGATTGATTTGTTTTGGGAAGCGATTCATAATGTAAAGCCATTTCAAAGTGATGAGAAATTCAAGCTATTTACAGAGCCAAGCATTGTAGGACATCAAGAAGAGTGCCTCTTTAAAAATCCAGCCTCAATTGACTTCATGTTGACGATAAATTCACATTTGAACCGCAATAAAAAATCAATAATAACGATAATAAATTTAGCATATGATAAGGTTGAGATTTACATTAAAAGATTTGAGGCAATACGAAAGGCTTACAAGGAGGATTTAGAAATGGACAGGGAGCAATTGAGAAAGGAAAAGGATTTAGATTTATTGATTGGATATTGTGAACGCTTTACCACTGAAATGTATTCACTCGATGGACTTTTACCTGAAATAAATTTGGGATTATTAAAGCTGAAGCAAGGATCGTTTCGTGATAAAATTTTACCGACCTGCCGTGAGCTACTTTCAATACTTGAAGAACACCTTCCATCACTTGCAAAAGATACTGTTACGGAAGTACGTGAGAAAGCTGAGAATTTAATGACCAAACTCACAACAACGCCACAGGAGGCACAAAGTTTCGTCAATTATCTTGACTTCTTAGAAAAATGTGAAGGTAAAATTGCTGAGATTGAAAAAGTTCTCAGCTATGCTTTAAGAGCCTTCCAAATCATGCAAAACTTTGAAATTACGGTTGATGAGGATGAGAAAGAGAACTTCTTGGATGTTGAAGAATTTCTGCAACAATTGAAGGTTGAATTGGAATCAAAAATTGAGTCACGTGAATTTATTATTGAGCAATTAGCAGCAAGCTTACAGAAGGATATTGCTAAGATTTTTAATGAAATTGAGTCTGTCAGAATTGAGGTTATGAAACCGGAATTGATTGATGTAAGTTAAATTTTTTGAATGTTTTAATCTTTTGAATGCATGACAGAGCAACAAGAAGGTTTAAAAAATGTCACTTTAAACCTCTTTGTTGCTCGAATTATGATTGAGGTCATGATGACTTATTGTTTAAGTAGTTCCACAGCTTATTCATCAACTGCTCGGGCATATCTTACGTAATTCTTCCATAATTATTTTCATTGAGTTGAAGTAGGGGTTCTAAAATCGGGAATATTCCCGGGAATTCCCGTTTTCATACCAAAAAACCGACAATCAGTGTTGCATTCTGGACATTTGTCTGGATCAGATAAATTCTCAGACAGAAATTTCTTCATAAAGATCGATTCTATATGAAGATAGAAAATCTAATCTACACAAAGATTATTTCTACATAAAGATTCGATGTAGATGTCTACAATTCTACATTCTTCTCTGATGTAGACCTAGAAAAAATGTAGAATTGTAGACATCTACATCGAATCTTTATGTAGACAGAATCTTTATGTAGAAATAATCTTTGTGTAGATTAGATTTTCTATTTTCATATAGAATCGATCTTTATGAAGAAAGTTTCTTAGCTAGACAAAAACTATTGAAGAATCTACATTCTTCATCTAGTGTAGACATCTACATTTGCAACACTGCCGACAATTCAAATTAGATTTTTTTTTTATTTTGTATGTTTCATGAAAAAAACTACAACTTAAAGAAAAAAATTATAATAATGAAAACATACGTTAAGGAATTTAAGAGTTGAAATATTAAACTCAAATTTGATGTTTTTTAAATCAAAATCATAAATTTATAAAAAACGAAGAGAAAAAGTATTTAAAAATATTTTTTTAAATGTATGATGTCCACAAAATAATAAACTTAATTGACATTGGATTATAGTAATGTGCTTGAAATTAATATTTCTGGAATCCACCAACATCTACAAGAGCTAAACGTAACTTTTCAATCTCCAATAATATTGTCTCAAAAAATCGCACTAGATTGCTAGACCAGCACGTTAATGCAATCAGTTTTTTAAAATCGTACTTTAAGAATTGTTCTAAAACCAAAAAGAACTGTATTTTAAACGGAAATTATTGTCAAAAGAATCAATTTTTTCAATCAAATCAAATAGAATTTAAATTTGATTCAAAAAGCTAAATAAAATACATGGTGTAAGTGTAGCTTTTAACTTTTTTTTTCTTTGTTGATTCCTGGGAATATTCTTGATTCCCGATTCCCGAAATCTTACGGGAACGGGAATTCTGGAACCCCTAAGTTGAAGCCGTACAGGAAGAGCATTTTCAATGCAATCCATTTGATCCACTTCCAAAAATGTTTCCATTTCCTTGAAAAAAACTGATGACATGACCAACAATAACTATTGCATTAGAAATAAATCACCATACTTAATAAATCTTCAAACATTTCTTAGTCCACCTTATTAACATAATACTCTTTATTTCCATAACAGGAAAATGCAAATAGCATTCAGGTCCGTGAAAATTTGGCAGAACTAATGGAGAAGCTTCACGAATGCCAAGAAAATTCTCAAAAAATTCGTGGGTGGCAAAAGCAATTTAGAATTGATGTTACAAGATTTGATTCGCTTGATGTTGTTTTTCAAGAAGTTCGATTGCGTCAGATGCTTTGGGACTCACTACAGCAATGGAAAGATTGTTATGATGAATTAATTGAAATTCCATTCCATAAACTAAACATTCAACAAGTGGTTGAGCTCAATACGAAAATACTTAAAAATTGTGGGATGCTTGAAAAGAATCTGCCGAAAAATGAGATTGTGCCACGACTGAAAGGAAATTGCGAGGAGTTTAAGGAAAAAATCCCAATATTATTATGTCTCCGTTCCTCAGATCTCAAGCCACGTCACTGGTTGAAAATTGAACAGACATTGGATAGGAAATTACTTGGCAATGAGAACATTACAATGTATACCTTTGAGGATGCAAATGCATTCGATGGCGGTGATAATTCAACAGCTATTCAAGAAATCTCGGGTCAAGCTATAGGAGAAGCAAAGCTTGAAGAGTCATTAAAGAAAGTCGACACAGTATGGAAAACTTTAGAACTTTCAATCATTTCATACAGAGATGCTCGAGATATTTACATCCTAGGGGGAATTGATGAACTTCAAGCTGTTCTTGATGACTCGAATGTTACAATTGCAACAATTGCTGCCTCAAAGCACATAGGAACACTAAAGCCCCGCATAGATGAATGGATAAGACAGCTGGATCTTTTTGGAAAGACATTCGAGGAGTGGGTGAAGGTGCAACAGTCATGGATATATTTAGAAGCAATATTCTCAGCACCTGACATACAGCGACAATTACCACAGGAAGCAAAAATTTTCGTTATTGTTGACAAGAACTGGAAGGAAATCATGAGACATGTCGCAAAATATTCTCTTGCTCTGCCGGCAATGACACAAAATGGATATTATGAAAGTCTGCAAAGGAACAGAATTTTACTTGAACAAATTACTCGTTGTTTAGAGGCGTACTTGGAAGTGAAACGTGTAGCATTTCCACGCTTCTACTTTTTGTCAAATGATGAATTACTCGAGATTTTGGCACAAACGAAAAATCCTCATGCTGTTCAACCTCATTTAAGGAAATGCTTTGATGCCATTTCACGAATAGAGTTTGGTATGAAAGAGGGCGATAAGAAAGGTGAAAAGGTACAGACGAATGACATACTGAGCATGATATCGCCCGAAGGTGAACGAGTAACGTTTGCCAAAGGTTTAAAGGCACGTGGATCTGTTGAAGATTGGCTAAGCAAGATGGAAGAAGCAATGTTCTCGGCTATTAAAAGATGCATGAAGTCAGCATATGTACGATATAAAATAATGGATAGAGTCCAATGGATTTTTGAAAATGCAAATCAAGTCGTGCTTACCGTCTCACAAGAAGCATGGGCACAAAATGTTCATGACATTTTAGACTCGAATGACGATACGGAAGATAAAAGCAAACGACTTGTTGATTTTGAGGCGAAATTAATAAAAGATCTTGGAGTTTTGGCATCACTGGCACGCACAAGGCTTCAACCTTTAATCCGAAAGATATTGTGTGCCCTCATTACGGTTGATGTGCATGCAAAGGATTCAATATCCAGTTTAATACAGAATAATGTCACGAAAAGGTAAGGTCGCTCGGTTATTAAAATTTTGTTATGTGCAACTTAAAAGATTTTATTTTATATGACATTCTGCGTATGAAAGAAAGAACCTTCATTACTCTTAATTTAAACCTTTCAGTGATGACTTCAACTGGCTAAAAATGTTGAGATATTACTGGAAACCAGATACAGAGTTGGTGCAAGTTCGTATGGCATCTGCAAATGTTCCTTATTTGTATGAGTATTTAGGGGCAGGTATAACTTAATGGTAAGATGTGGTTCAAGGCATAAGGTATCAATTGATTTGGTTTTTACAGGTGGTGTCTTGGTAATAACTCCACTCACAGATCGCTGCTATCTTTGTCTAATGGGTGCTATACAAATGGAATTAGGTGGCGCGCCAGCTGGACCTGCAGGTTTGTTGCTTTATTGATTTACAGCACTGGTTCCAAAGCTCAATTTTAAAAAATTATTCTTTTGTATTCTTTAGGAACTGGAAAAACAGAAACAACCAAAGATTTAGCAAAAGCTATTGCAGTTCAATGTGTGGTATTCAATTGTTCTGATGGACTTGACTATAAAATGGTAAGTTAATCCACAATATGCTATAAATGATCCCCATCCCAAATTGTCCATGGAATCAAAGAATTTTCAGCAACTCATAAAAATTCTCAATTCTTCTTATTTCCCAGATGGGAAGATTCTTCTCAGGCTTGGCTCAATCTGGAAGCTGGTGCTGCTTTGATGAGTTCAATCGAATTGATATCGAAGTATTGTCTGTGATTGCACAGCAATTGATAACAATAAGAAATGCCAAAGCAATGAAATTGAAAAGATTTATTTTTGAAGGACGTGAAATCAAGCTTGTTCAGTCATGTGCTGCATTTATAACAATGAATCCTGGTTATGCTGGAAGAACTGAGTTGCCTGACAATTTAAAGGGTATATAGTAATCAGTCATACCTCTACATAATATTATAATTAAATTTTCTATCCATAGCTTTATTCCGTCCAGTCTCAATGATGATTCCAGACTATAAACTCATTGCTGAAGTCATCCTTTACTCTGAAGGTTTTGAAGGCTCACAGATATTGGCACAGAAAATGGTGCAAACTTACAAACTTTGTAGTGAACAATTGAGTCAACAGTCACATTATGATTTTGGAATGAGAGCAGTAAAGTCAGTTCTTGTCATGGCTGGTGCGTTAAAAAGAGCATCGCCAAATCAAAGGGAGGAAATAATTTTAATTTGTGCATTAAGAGATTCAAATTTGCCAAAGTTTTTAAAAGATGATGCTGCATTGTTCAATGGAATCATCAGTGACCTATTCCCAAATATTGACTTACCAGTTGTGGAATATGGAGACTTACAAAGAGCGATTGAGGATAGCATGAATGCAAGAAATCTTCAGCCATTGCCAACTTTAATAACAAAATGCGTACAATTGTATGAGACGATGAATGTTCGTTGGGGCGTTATGCTTGTTGGACTAGCTGCAAGTGGTAAAACATCAACATTACATACACTTGCCGATTCCCTTATCAAGCTACACAATGATGGAGTTATAAATCCAAATTATCGCAATGTAAAGATCCAAACCATCAATCCTAAATCAATAACAATCGATGAGCTGTATGGAAGTGTTAATTCAATGACCCTTGAATGGAATGATGGATTATTGGGTATGGCAGTAAGATCAGCTGTCAGTGTAACTGAAGAAGAACATCAATGGATTGTTTGTGATGGACCAGTCGATGCTGTTTGGATAGAGAACCTTAATACACTGCTCGATGACAATAAAATGTTGTGCCTTGCGAATTCAGAAAGAATAAAGCTTACTCCATGGGTTCATATGGTGTTTGAGGTTGAAAATCTAGAGCAAGCATCTCCAGCCACAGTATCACGATGCGGTATGGTTTATATTGATTCACAGCATCTAACATGGCAAGCATTAGTGAAATCATGGTTGAATACAATCGACGAAGAGCAATTTGATACAGACTTAAAGACGTACATTGAGGAGCTATTTAATAAATATTTCGATGATATTCTCACATTCACTAGAAGGAAATGTGCAGTCATACAGAATCAAGTTGAGTCAAGCAAAATTGACATGCTGTGCACAATTCTGAAGTCGCTACTAATGAAAATTCCAAATATGAATCTTATGGAAGATTCGGACATAAAAGCATACATATGTAAGTTATGGCTGTTCGCAACTCTTTGGTCAATTGGGTCAAATTTCTTTGAAGCATCGAGAATAATTTTGGAAGTTCATGTTAGGAAGTTATTGGAAGGACATGAGAACATTGATCTGCCGGAGACAAGTTTGTGGGAATATCGAATTAATCCAGAAGCAAAAGTCTGGGAAAAGTGGGAGAAAATCATTCCTAAATTTCAATTTAATCCAAATGTCCAGTTCTTTGACATGATTGTCCCAACATCTGATATCGTCCGATTTGGTTACATTAGTGAGATATTAATTAAAGCTTTACATCCAGTTCTATTCATTGGCGAAGCTGGTGTCGGAAAATCTGTAATTGCAAAAGAGCTTCTGTCGCGTTTATCAGCCGAAGGACAAATAGTTCCAGTATGCATGAACTTTTCAGCCCAAACAAACAGCACAAGGACACAAGAAATGATTGAAAATCGATTGGAGAAGAGAAAGAAGACCCTTCTCGGTGCTCCATTTGGAAAGCAAATTTTGATTTTTATTGATGATGTAAATATGCCAAAGCTTGAAGTTTATGGAGCGTCACCGCCAATTGAGCTGCTACGACAATTTTTAGACTTCAAAGGATTATATGACCGAGAAAAATTGTACTGGAAGAATATTGTGGATTTAATTTTAACCGCAGCATGCGCCCCAGCAGGTGGTGCTAGAAATCCTTTATCGCCTAGATTTTTGCGACATTTTTCGGTCTTGTCATTTCCAACACCAAACCGAAATACTTTAATTGGAATTTTTGGTGGAATCATTGTGGGCTTCTTTTCAGAATTTGCTAAAACAATTTGGAGTCTAGCTGAGCCTCTTGTCGTTGCAGCTGTAACATTATACGAGCGAATTGCACAGGAACTGCTTCCAACACCGACAAAATCTCATTACTTGTTCAATTTACGAGACTTGTCGAAATGTATACAAGGCGTATTGCAAGCCGACAGCTCATCATACACAAATCAAAGTCAAATTTTACGATTATTTTATCACGAAGCACTTCGCACATTTCACGACCGTCTTGTGTCAGATGACGATAAAAAGTTCTTTAAAAATTTACTCAATGAAATATCGGTGGAGCATTTTAAATGCAACATTATTGAGAACGATGAAGTTTTAATGTTTGGTGACTTTATGGTGTTTGGTCAAGCGCGTGAGAATCGAATTTATGAGGAAATTAAAAATGTCGATAAATTAAAAAGCATATTGTTGGATTACATTCAAGACTACAATGCAATGACTGGTAAAGATTTGAATCTGATTTTATTTCAAGACGCAATCGAGCACATTTTGAGACTGTCGAGATTGTTGAGAGCTGAAAGAGGAAATGGATTGTGAGTATTTGTTTTGTGTTTGTTTTTTTAAGGGACAATTAGGGTCGTGGATGTGTGGGACTGCTATTTATGGGGATTAAGTTTTCAGTATACATGATGTAAAGTCTTAAGCATACTTGCCATATCTCTAGGCCCATCAAAACCCCGTCAGCTTAAAATATCAATATTTGATAGGAATCGAATCATATTGGAAGATTGGTTTGATGGCTAGTGATAAAGATCACTGCGGATAAAAGAATAAAGCAGTCTTAGAGCGGTGTGAGCTCTATTTAACTATTTTTTACATTCTTCTTTAATGTTACATACTTGGTATTGGTAATTGGCAAGCGGTAGCCTGCGATAGAGCCAGCTTTAGGTGCTAAAGGATGGCCATGGATCATAATTGATCTGTACGGCCAGAAAAGTAAGTAAGTACTTGTCAATTACCATTCCCAGTTATTTCACTTTTGTTTGTGGGAATCGAACCCACACTCCATAAAATGAAAATTTACAGATTTCTAGTCTGTTCACTGTAGACGAGTAGCTTATGCATATAGTTAACAGCTCAGATTCAATTCTGCTAAAATAAGATTATAAGGTTTACACTGGTTCGGTATTGTTCAAATTATTTTAATCCACAGCACAAACTTTTGATAATAATGCTCTGGGTTATCCAAAATAGGGCTCATAGTCGGTACTCGATAAAAGTGAACCCTGAACTCCATACATCATGAATTATCCAACCCATATTACTCAAATTTTTCCCTTCATTCCTTTCAATTCCAGACTCGTCGGCCTATCAGGCTTGGGAAAGCAATCGATAACTCGTCTTGCATCAAACATAAATAGCTATCAGTGCATGCAAATCGAACTTAAACGTGGTTACGATTATACATCATTTCGTGAGGATTTAAGAAAGTGCTATTCAATTGCTGGCATAAATAATACGCCAATTGTCTTCCTTTTAAATGACACGCAAATATTGCAAGAGGAATTTTTGGAAGACATCAATAATGTCCTAAATTCTGGAGACGTTCCAAACTTATTTGAGGGCGATGAGTATGAGAAATTGATTTTAAGTATTCGTGTGCCATGCATGGAAGCAAATTACAAGGATCAAAGTCGAGACGGAATTTATGAGTTTTTCATTTCACGTGTCCGTAAAAATTTGCATGTTGTTCTATGCATGAGTCCTATTGGTGATTCATTCCGTAAGCGATGTCGAATGTTTCCGTCATTAGTCAATTGCTGTACAATCGATTGGTTTGAGATGTGGCCACAAGAAGCACTTTACTCAGTTGCATATGGCTCATTAAGGACACTATCTGATGATGATCAGCAATGTGAAAATATCGCATCCGTTTGTGTCATGATACACGATAGTGTTGAGAAGGCATCAGAGACATTCTTTTTGGAAACAAAGCGGCATTACTACACAACACCGTCAAGCTATTTAGAGCTTTTAAAACAGTATCATGCTTTAATTAAACAAAGGATGCACTCCATATCAGCATTAAGGAACAAAATTGCTAATGGATTGAATAAAATTTTAGAAACCAATGATATTGTTGCTATAATGGAACAGGAACTTAAAGTAATTGTTCCTATTATGGAGAAAAAATCACTTGAAATTAAAGATACGTACGCAAAGTTGGAGAAAGATACAGCACAAGTTGATGCTATAAAGAAAGTTGTAATGCAGGATGAAACAGAGGCAAAGATCAAAGCAGCTGAGACACAAGAGCTAGCTGATGATGCTGCTAAGGATTTGGAGACTGTCATGCCGCAATTGAGGTTAGTTTAAATCTTAACCTTTAAATCTTTTAACTTTCTTCTAATAAATCTTTTAATTTTCAGAACCGCTCAAGATGCTCTCAGAGCTTTAAACAAAAGCGATGTCAATGAAATTCGCGTCTTCCAAAAGCCACCAAAGCTTGTTCAATTCGTCATGGAAGCAGTTTGTGTGCTCCTTAACACAAAACCAGACTGGAATAATGCAAAACAGATTATGGCAGATGTCAACTTCCTTAAAAAGCTACAGGAATATAATGCCAACAATATTTCAGAATCTATGGTCAAAAAATTAAAGACATATATCGATCATAAGGATTTCCAACCAGCAATTGTTGAGAAAGTCTCAAAAACAGCCAGATCAATGTGTGCATGGGTCATTGCCATGAATCGATATGCTGAAGTGTTTAAGGATATTGAACCAAAAATTCGTAAACGTGATGGTGCTGAAAATGAGCTAAAGCAAGTCATTTATATCTTGAGGCAAAAGCAAAATCAATTAGCGGAAGTGGAAGGAAAAGTTCAGCTACTGATTAATGAAAGAGACAGGAAGCAGAAAGAAATGCATGAAATCCAAATGAGATACGATTTGAATAATAAGCGATTGACAAGTGCCGGAAGACTAACATCTGCACTGTCGGAAGAGGAAGCTCGATGGAGAGAGACTGTTGAACGATTGGATAATAATCTCTTCACAATTCCTGGTGATATACTTGTTGCTTCTGCATATGTTGCATATCTTGGTGCTTTTCCCATCCATTATCGTAAGGATATGTGTAAGATGTGGATGCTTGAATGTCAACGACTTCAAATTCCGAGTGGTGATAATTTTGACTTTATCAGCTGTTTAGGCGATCCATATCAGATTCGTGAATGGAATATTTGTGGACTTCCTCGAGATGATGTTTCCGTTGAAAATGGAATAATCACGACTCAATCTAGTCGATGGACATTATGTATTGATCCACAAGAGCAAGCTAATCGTTGGATTAGGAATATGGAAAGAGACAACAATTTGATTATCACAAAAATGGATAATCCAAATCTTGTAAGACTCCTTGAAAATGCCATTACCGGTGGTCAACCAGTTTTAATTGAGGAAGTTGAAGAAACTTTGGATCCATCTTTAAATCCAGTCCTTGCGCGATCTTTTTATAATCAAGGTGGAAGGATAATGATGCGATTTGGTGAAAATGACATAGAATATGATTCTAATTTCAAACTGTACATGACATCAAAGCTTTCAAATCCTCATTATTTGCCCGAAATTTGTATTCAAGTTACATTGATCAATTTCTTGGTATCAATGTCTGGATTAGAGGATCAATTGCTTGCGTGAGTAGAATTCGATGTTTTTGCTTGACTCTCTTGAAGTTAGCTCCTATTTTGTTGGACTTACTTTTAAATATTTATTAACCGTTAAATTTTTATTAACAGCGACATTGTCAGAATAGAACTTCCGGAAATGGAGAAGCAAAGGAACGATTTAATTGTCAGCATCAATTCCGACAAACAGCAGCTTCAAATGCTAGAAGATAAAATCCTAAAACTTTTATTCTCATCGGAAGGAAACATACTCGATGACGATGAGTTGGTTGAGACGTTAAATGAATCAAAAGAAATATCAATTGTAATAGAATCACGTCTGATTGACACAGAAAAGACTGAGGAAGCAATAACACTTGAGCGTGAAAAGTATCGTCCCCTAGCAGCAAAAGGTGCTGTTTTATTTTTTGTTGTCTCATCACTTTCCGAAATCGATCCAATGTATCAAGTGAGCTTGAGATACTTTACCCAAATATTTTGTTCTGTTCTTGAACAGGATATACCGAAAATGGAATTCAACGACCGCATCGAGTTTCTGTTTCAACAGGAAATTCGATCAATTTATTTGAATATAAGTCGTGGATTGTTTGAGAAGCATAAAGCTATTTATAGCTTTCTTTTAGCAACGGAAATTGAAAAGCATGATAATAAAATTACCGATAATGAGTTTGATTTTCTCTTGCGTGGCAGTGCTGGAAGCAGTAAAAATCTCAACGACGATAATGTTCGTATTAAACCAGACAATTTAGAGAAAGTAAGTGAGAAGCAATGGAATAGCTGCATCTTCTTAGAGCAAGAATTTCCTCACTATGCGAATCTTACAGTCGAGTTGAGTAAGAAGATTGTCGTAAAATTTAAAGATCAAAAATTCAATCTCACTGATGGCTTTGAAGACTCATCGACTAAATGGAATGAGAACTTAACTCCATTCTCGAAATTAATTCTCATTTCGGTACTTAAACCTGAACAACTCATGCTTGCTGTGAACTGTTACATTCGAGACACGCTGGGAAGAGAATTTGTGGAATCTAAAACGACATCAATTGGGTCTGTTTTTCGCGACATGACACCATCAACGCCATTGATTTTCATTTTGTCGAGTGGAAGTGATCCGATGACGGCACTTCAAAAGTTTGCTAATGAGCAGGATTTTAGTGAGAGGCTGCAATCAATTTCGCTGGGTCAGGGACAAGGTATGTAGACTTTAATAATGGTTGGATATCTGGAATGGCTATAATAAGACTTTAGAAAGCATAAATCCATATCTGCAGCAGATTTACTCGGCCTTCGTAGATTAGAACACATCTGGCTGGCATAAAACAGCCTGATAAAGAGAACGACTAGGAACGAAATGTTCTTAACCTATTCTTAAGCTTTAAATGGGTATCTAAGTTAACATGATTGATTAATGTGATCCTTGTAATCAGGCAGATTGTTATACATTTCCTTTTCTTCACAAACATACAGTCAGGCACATCTATGTTAACAATCTTGACTCCAATTTAAAATTTAAATATCCCAAGCCTTACCTTTACATCATTTCATTATCCATTTGCAGGCGTTACAGCTGAAGCACTCTTAACAAAAGCTCAAACAGTCGGCAACTGGATTTACTTACAAAATTGTCATCTATCAATCTCATGGATGCCATCCCTCGAGTCAATCGTACGTGATTTGGTTTTGGGAAATTTCAAAGTACATCCAGATTTTCGATTATTCCTATCATCAATGCCATCAAGACATTTTCCCGTAAGCATACTTCAGAACTCTATTAAGCTCACGAATGAGACGCCAAAGGGATTGAAATCAAATCTAATGAGATCATTAATGGATTTAGACGAGGAAATGTTTGAGATTCATATCCATGGAAATATATGGAGGAAAATGATATTTGGATTGTGCATGTTTCACGGTGTCATAATCGAGCGGAAAAAATTCGGAAGTTTGGGTTTCAATATTCTATATGAATTTAATGATAGCGATCGTGAGTGTGCCTTAAACACATTAAATTTATTCATTGATCGTGAAACTCGAAAGGAAATTCCATGGCAAGCACTCGAGTATATTAATGGTGAAATAACATATGGCGGCAGAATCACTGATGAATGGGATCGACGATGTGCACGAACTATATTGAAATTATTTTCATGCGAGAGCATTCTCGATGAGGATTACGTGTACAGTAAGAGTGGCGTGTATTATTGTCCTAGTTTGAAGAAGCTTGATGACTTTAAGCAGTATGTTAACGAGTTGCCATTTAAGGAAGAACCAGAGATATTTGGCATGCATGAGAATGCTGACATTGTGTATGAAACGAAGGAAGGAAGTTTCTTTCTTAAATCGATTTTAGAAAATCAATCAAAGCTTGTCAGTGCTTCTACAAGCTCAAACGACACTATAGTAATGGATATTATACAGAAACTTAAAGGTTCTATTGCCAAATCAATAACAACAGACAGCATGAAGGCTGAATTGAATGACACAGATTCAAAAGACAGAGTTATGCCTTTAACGACGGTTTTACTACAAGAGACTGGAAGGTTTAATAAGTTATTGAAAACAATTCATCGCAGTTTAAAGGAACTGGAAAAAGGAATCAATGGATTTGTTGTCATGTCTGAGAATTTAGAGGCCATTTTTGATTCATTCTTGATTAATCAAGTTCCAAAATTGTGGGCAACGCACGGATTTTTGTCTACAAAATCATTAAGCTCTTGGACCGAAGACTTGATACTTAGAATTGAGCAAATTCAGGTACGATATTATTTTTTGACATAACAACGGCTTTCAAAAATTTGAATTTTATCGGTTCTCAAAAAATTTGAATTCAAACGGTTTTGGTTTGCGTCTTTGCTATTTAAAATTGAAAAGTCTGTTTGAAATTTAAATATGTTTTTACTTGTATTAACATAGAACTGGATAGAAAAGGGAGTTCCAACATCAGTCTGGATTTCAGGCTTTTTCTTCCCACAAAGTTTTCTCACTGCTGTGCTACAAACACATTCGAGACGATATAACTTAGCAATTGACATGCTTAAATTTGACTTTGAAGTTTTGGACACGACTTTGATGCAAAAAAGAATTTACGAGACGAGACTTGACGGAGAAACAGGAAATGTTTATGGAGAATTGTATGCACCAGATGATGGAATTTATGTGCATGGATTATTCTTAGAAGCTGGAAAATGGGACAGTTCAAGAGGTGGACTTACTGATCCAAAAATAGGTGAATTAGAAACTATCTTTCCAGTTTTATGGCTTAAACCTTGCCAGAAACTTGTCATTTCTGATCGCTATGAGGCTCCACTTTACAAAACACCAGTAAGAGCTGGTGTATTATCGACTACAGGACATTCGACAAACTTTATACTTTCAATTTTGCTGAAATCTTTAAAACCACCAAATTTTTGGATATTACGAGGAACAGCTTTGGTTACACTTTTGACTGATTAAAATTACTTTTTCATTTCCAATTTAATTAAAAACTTTTTGATACAACAAAACTACAAATTAATAAGCTTTACTGATAATAATAAGTAACTTAATTAGCTTCACCGTTCAGCTTTTGTTCCTCAGAATTTGTTGCTTCTTCGTTTGCAGGCGTGTCGTCATTATTTGGTCCAACTTTAGCTCGTTCCTTTTCCGTTCTGAATTTTTGACTAATATACTTCCAATACTTGTATCTGATTGTGTCATAATGGTTAGCCAGCATGTCGCAAATTTCATAGACCTTCCTTGCAAAAATCTCTGGATCATCATAACTGTTTGTCTCGTAGATGTGTAAAGTCTTTTCAATATACATATCCACAAGAAATGCCAACAAGTATGGTGCTCGATTGCCAGAATTGTAAAGGTCTTCAGTAAATGCTTCTACATCTGGAAATTGACTGATTTGAAAGTCTCCCGACTCTAGTAATCCTTTAAGATAGTTCCAGGAGCTCTCATTGTTCTTAACTAAACGAATACGATTTATGGCATAATGAATTTCACGCTGGACAGTCTCAAGTGTTAATCCCATATGTTTTAATATGAAAAATCTCTGATTCCATGCTGAATTATTTCTTACATCTGCTGATAACAGCTTGTCGATGTATGCCAACTCGTTATCGTAAAGACTAAAAAGATAGAGAAATTGTAAATATTTAAAAACTCTTAAAATTGATTAATTAATGCTTACCTGAATGTTTCAATTGCCCATTGACGATGTTGCCATGCATGATAATTTTTTGCATCAAGATCCAGTATTTTTTCAGTCAATAAGAGTTCCTCAGATGGATCGTTAAGCCACTCAACAATGACACGACGATGATGCCAAACTTGATAGTTTTTCGGATTGTCTTCAATGACATCAGCTATGTAGTTGAGCTCTTCATACAGATCCTTTTTTAATGCCTTTATAATCTCTCTTCTGTATTGCCAGACTGTATAATTTGCAGCATTAAGTTTTAATGCGTCGTTTGTCAATTCCAATGCCCTTTCAGACTTCTCCTGTGTTGCCAATATTGCACGAAAATAATCATAAACGTCCAGAACTGTCGAATAAAGGCATTAGATATCAAAAACATATGTTTAAAACCACAGAAACTGATCTTACATCGTTCACTGTAAGCAATTGCAACAATTGGATTTTTTCCATCGTTTTGCTTTATCGGATGTACATCACTCCATTCACGACGATGCCTATACATCACATATCCTTCATTAAATTCCTCATCAGAACTATCGCTCATCCTGGACGATTAAACAACTAATTTTAATATTTTTGTGTGACTAAGACTTTATTTTCTTTTTGTATGTTTAGAAAACTTTAATGTTTTGGGTGTATTTAGAAAAATAAAGTACAGAACGCACTCAAAAAAGAGGGGAAATTTCAAATTTTTTTCGTTATTTCTTATGAAACTTTGTCTTCGCTATCTTCTTCTTATCAACTTTTAATTCATGAATTATTTGTGATTCTGTGATATTTGCCTTTTTTGCGAACCTTTCTTTCCAACTGTCATCCTTTTTCACACCACCTTCATCATTAAAGCTGTCATTCATGTCTCTTTTCACGATTTTCTCAAAGCAAAAGTGCTTGTATACGAATTGCCAATAATTTTTCCGTATTTTATCATATTTATGAGCCATTAAAGTACATAAATTACAAATTTTCTGCGAGATTAATAGTTCGTTGGCATCGTTCGAGTCATTTAATATCATTTCAATCTTTAAATCGATTAGAAAAGCAACAATGTGTCGATTTGTATTTTCATTATCATAGAATTCAGTTTCGCAGTATTTAACAAGCTCCTGGAACTGCCATAGTCTTTTTGCCCCAAAATTGAGTAACAATCCACGAATATAATTCCATGCAGAGTCATTTTCATTTGCTAATTTTATCTTTTCAAAAGCATAACGAAATTCATTTTTAACAAGAATAAAATCAGTTTTGCCTCGTTGATTTATGATGAAATAACGCTGATTCCATGCTGAATTATTTCGAATGTCCTCTTTTATCAATTTATCCGTGAATTTCATTTCATCTGTCAAAATACCAAGATTTGTGTACTTAAATGTGCTGATAACAAATTGCCGATGATGCCACGCAAAATAATTCTTTGGATCTTGCAGCAAAACTTGTTCAGTCAATTTAAACTCGATGGCTGATGTACAGCAATTTAAATTCTTGTTAATAACACATCTACGATGTTCCCAACATTGGAAATTCTTTGGATTCCCAACAATCATTTCCTCTAAAAAGCAAAGTTCCTTAAATGGATCATATTGAATTTTATTGAGAATTTTTCTTCGAATGATCCAAAAATTATAGTTGAATTGATTATAGCGAATAGCTTGTGTCGTTAAGTTCAAGCTTTTTTCTGAGTAGTCTTCGTCACTTACGATTTTTTCGAAGCATTTTAGGATTCTTGTGTCTGTAAAACAAAATGGTTTGAAATTTAATTGAAGATTTGAATCATTTTGGAGAAAGACTTTGTTGAATTGAAGAAAGGAACAATAAGATAGTCGATAGAAATTCTTCCGAATCTATGAGCTACCTTGAATCCTTAATTAGATTTTTTAAAACATTCCAATGATCAAACATTGAGAGTTTGAATTTTTAAGATTTAGAATTCAAATTTTAAACCAATCTGATATAAATCTCAATTTGCAAAAAGCAATCCAGAAGTGAAAACTTACATTCATCAGAATACCTAATCGATGCAATCTCACCAAACCCGTACTGACCACTTCCATTTGTAACATCCTTTTCCATATTTAATTACACGAATTGATTCTACAATAGAAATAAAAATTCACAAGATTAGCAGAACTGTCAAGCTGCAATTAAATTGTCACTCAATAGTGACCGATATAATCGATTGAGTATAAAGAACACGAATGAATGCGTTTTAGATGCTTTTTATTTATTTTTCATTTTTAATTTTCTCTCAATTAGCGACTTTTTTTCTCATTTTAAATTTATTTCAGAGCTAGAAATTAAGCTTTGCTCTCTGTTGTGTGCTAAAAATGATGTAGATGCAAAGATTGTAGCTTAATCGAAATTGGATATGAAATTTTTGAGGCATGAAGAATTCTTTTGATGACAAAAATTTATACAATAAAATCAAATATTGAGCAATGTTAGAAATCTCTTCTGAGAATATGCTCGTGTTATGCTAATATCCTTAGAATAATAAAATACATGCCAATTCATCAAAGTCTTTCTTTTTTTATTAATCTTCAGAGATTTTGTGACTATTTCAGCTTGTTTTTTAATAAATTCAATTTCATAGTTCAAGTTTGCGTATTCGGTAGTTCCATTCATTTTGATTGATTGAATAAAATGAGAAATTCAGCTTGATTTTTCATCAATTCAGAACAGTCAATTGAAAAAGTTGTCAAAGCTCAGGTAGACTATTTTTGATTGTTTAAGCCTTTACGTTTGCACAGCTGTTCAAACTCTGGAAATTGAGTTTGAAATCAACAAAAGATACAAAAATACTAAGTTGTGGCTCGATTTTTGAGACATTGTAATAGTTTTTTTTTTCAATTTCTAAGGTTTTGTTTAAAATATTGAGAAGAATTCTCAAAAATTATCAAATTAGAAAAATAAACTGAAATAGACTTAAGCTGCAGATTTACATAAAAATTTTATAATTTGAATAAATACAAACTTTTTTGATATTATTTAATTTTCAATCTTACAATTTTCATTTCAATGTAAATTTTTAAACAAGTTCCATAAATTCTAAGAAAATTCAGTTTGATTTCCTCATAAAAAGATGTGTGAACTGTGCAAGGATATGATCAAATATGATCAAAATCAAACTAATCAGTTCCTTCTTCTTGTAATTATGATAATGAATTTCAAAACTTTTTTTATGTGCTAAATATCATAATATTCTCAAGAATACTAATTTATAATAAGATTGACTTAAAGAATCAAAATTCTTATTGTAAGTATCCATTCTTACTTAATTTTAGAGCACACTTTCGATTATTTATTTGTTTATAATTTATCTATTTTCTTGCCTAGTTTTTTATTATAAAATTAAATAGCTTTGTCTCTTAAAATGTTAGGAAGTCAACGAGATTCTCATATAAGCAATAAAATCTAATACACAGTAAGTTCCTAGAACGCCTATCCATCAATTGTTGGATCTTTAAAATTTAAAAATTTTGTTCATTCTTTTTGTCTCATAAAAATTTTGATGTCTTCATTTGGACGCGTTTGACGCAGATATGATGAATTTAAATTTTTATTTTAAAGTTTAGCTATAAAGCAGCATAAAAGCTTGTCTCTTTCCTAAGTTTAAAGTTGTTTTATCATTAAATATTCTAAATTTGTTCTCATCTAGTGCATAAATTATTTTAAAACTGAATCAAATTCAGTTCTTGTGATTTAAGAAAAATAAGTCTCGATAACATCAAATTGATGAATTCAAAACAATAGAAAATGAATAACAAGAAGCAGAAAACTCGTATTTTATAATCAAGTACATTATACTAGCTTTAAGTCTTCATTTTCGTTTAATCCAAATTCTTTTGATCTTTTGCACTCGAGTCTCGATTTATTTTTCATTATTTTCTAAGAAATACTTTTAAGTTTTTTAAATTATGAACTTTTTATGAAAATAAGAAGCTTAAATTTTAAAGTTTTGAGCTAGCTGAGTTCAAAGTTTCAGATCAGATTGAGAACTTTGTTAAACAACGAAAATCTAAATCTGAACTGAAAATTCTTGTAATATCAAGCATAGATCAAGCTATGTGTTCACTTGAGTTTGTTAAGCACTGTCTTATATAGAATAGAATCAAATACGTAATATCTGAATAACCTCCAATCTCAAATACCAAAAAGAAAATGCTAAAGTCATTGCTGACCCAATTTCATTCTAAATGACGTGCAGTTATGTAAATGGATATTCAGAACTATAGTAAATGTTAGCAACAGGTTGTAAACATTCAGCAAATCCAATCTTTTAACGTCAAAATAAATTTATTATTTTATTGAGCTTGAAAATGTTTTCAGTGCTAAGATTAATCTTTTTATTTACTCAACTAGCTAACTTTAGCGAGAATTGTAGATTATGGATAATTTTAATCATCATTTATCATTATCATGGTTATTATTACAGTATTTTTATCACAGATTTATGTTGTTAATATTATAATATTGTTATTACAAAAATATATTTCGTTCCTTTTTCAATTATCTCTTTATGATTCTTTTATTACCAGCATTAATTATTCATATTTTTTTATTATCCTTCCTTGTCGTTTAAGATTGACGAAAAATAAGTTTTTTAGAAAATATTTCTCTCCGTATTATAAATTTCATATTATCACATTTTCTTACTTCTCGTTGCGAAGTTCTTTTCATTTATTTATTTGTTTTAACTAGGAAAATTTAATTCATTTTATGACCGAAGTTGTTATTTCAATTATTATTCTGTTCAGTTTAAAGAAGCCATTTAAATTCAATTATTTACACAAAGTTAACAAACATCAGTAGAATATAAAGTTGGAAAGCTCGTGGACTTCAGATAACTTTGCACAGAGCACTGAACAAGAATTTAATTTAATTGAAAAGCTATCTTGTGTTCAGTTTAGAGGAAAATCTAAATTAAAAAGAGGAGTGCATTGATTTGAGTTTGCTAGGTTTAGTAGAAACTTCTTAATTGCCTATTACTTTGGGGAATTGAATTGCTATATTTTTCCTACAAAATATCTATTTGCTCACTTAAAATTGATGGTTTTACATAATTCAAATTACAATTCAATCTATGGTTTGGCTTAATTTCATAAACAAAAACATGAAATGGAAAGTGTAAACAAGATAATTTTTGAATTCCCGGCATTTTATAAATCTTAAAAAACATTGAATTGTACTACTTTTAAAGCTCATTTTTGGTTGATTATAACATAATTTGGTTTGCTCAATCAAATTAAAACCAAATCAAATTTTTTTAAAAAAAAATAAGTTCCTCAACAAGCAATTTTTTAACATTTAACTTTCCATATGAGAATGTTAACCAAAATTTTTTTCACTTTTTTCGGTATTCGAAGCTTTCAAACTTTCCAACTCCTTTAAGCAACACAAAACAAAAATTTTTATCGATCTTCGAGTGCAAACATCTGGATAAAATTTAAATCTCACACAAACACTTTTACATTTAATAAATCACATTTTATATCTTCTCATCATTCTTTAGCATTCGAATGTCAATTAGAGCAGTTCCTTTCCATTGAGTTAATCGTATATGATAATTAAAAGCATTCCTATCCCGAGGGTGCATTTTTTTATCTTTGGAATCACATTCTTAGCCAACATAAAAAAAATCTTTGTTTTATCACAAATTGAGTTTCAATGGAAGATTCGATAATTTGTCTTTTAAGTACTTAAAGTTTCTGCATTGTGCATTGAATTCAGTTTTTTCATCATAATTTGATTTTTTTTTCTTCTTCATCTGAACTATCTACTTACATGTTACACTAAATGTGAAATTTGCAGCACCTCGGGAAATTGTTTAAGCAGGAAAGTGAGAGTAAATCATGTTGAAGTGGATCAAAAGGGTGTGGAAATATTTTTCTTTGTATGTAAAAAGCGAAAGTTTTTAACTTGTAGCAGCAAAACTTGGTGCTTATGAAAAGGTCTAACGTTTAATAGATTGAAGGATTGTGTTTTGTGTCTGGTTCCGTTTATATTCGTTATTGGCTTTAGTGAAAATGACATTATAGTCAAATTACCAAGTGTAACTTCAGTATTCTGCATATTATCCTCACCTTTTTGTAGGCAACATCAAGAATCAGGTTGAGCTTTCATAAGTGCTTATACATTTCGTGGCGAAGCAGACTTCAGTTACAAGCAATCAAGGGCTTTATTCTTCCAAAGTCCAACAAAAAACTTGCTCCACTTTGGTTGATATTTCGGGTAATTTGGGTAATTTTCTCAAAACGCACGAGTGCAAGGTCTTTGTTTGCCTTGTCCCAAATGACAACTTCATAAATCATTCCAAGATTAGCAATACAGACCCATTATTCCAATTATAGAAACAGACACAAACAAATCCACAACAATAAACTTTCAATAAAGCAATTCAATGGTTGGAAATTCAGCACAGTTTCTAAAGAATTAAAGTTTATCTATATTCTCATGTTAGCACCATTATTACAATCATTTATCTTATTTTGGGATCTTCTCAATGTAGATTATTTCCATACTCAATCGATATCTGCAGGACAAAATTCTTTTCAAGTTTGTGTTTTATGACCTGTCGAATTCCATAAGCATATATATTGAAAATGTTCCTATAACACATATTTCATTTGTAGAAATTTTCTATAAGCTTCTTTTAAACTCTTTCCTATCAGATAAATCCCTATGTCACACCTATCGTCTTTGAATCGCTTTATGAATATATGAACTTTCGCGTGGCACGATATCGTCGCATGTTATGTTGGACATGACCTTTTTATTCACTTTCTTATGTAAATGCAAAATAAAAATAGAATGAACCAGAAATCGCTGGAAAAAGGTGCTGATCATTTTAAACATGTGCTTGATAATATTTGGCAGAACCCAATTAAAGGTATCATTTAGTCTAGGATTAAGAAGTAGTAAAGAATGTGATAAATATCATTTGAAATAGATTAAGATTTTTTTTGTGTGTGTGTGTGTGTCAGAAATACTTTAAGTGGGAGAAAGTTAATTAATTTGCCTTCTTATTATGTTAGAGAGGAGATTGCTTTTTTTTGACTATAAGACTATGTTCAATGCATAAAGCTGAGATCCTTTCAATCAACTCATACGTCATGATTGTTAACTCGTTTGTAATTTGCGCTACCGTTTACGTAATTGCCATTCGATTCGTCCTTATTGACTGTTTTATTTTCCTCTTTGACACTTTCAAATGGAAATAGCTTTATCCTAGCCATGTCGAATACTTTTTCAAATCCTAACTTTGTGTACAGACTTCTGGAAGCATCATTTTCGTGTCGTATGACTACAAATGGTTTATAACCGCGTTTAATTACAAGCCGTGCTAGATTTTGTGCTAGATAGATGCCATATCTGAAAATGATACAGTTAAAAATCCTTAAAAGTTTTGTTACTGCTTTGATATTAGTAGACAGTAGTTACCCTTTTCTTCGATGCTCTGGTTTTGTTTGCATTGAAAACATAGCTCCATAATAACTTTGAATCATCCATGCTGCAAGTTCTCCATCGAGTGTAAAAACACCATAACCAGGTATAACTTCCGAAAGCTTCTCAAAAAGCTCAATGCTCTCAATTTCGCTAGCTGGATATAGATCATGAATTCCCTTCACGTCCTGAGCGCATAAGAGACGCATCTCCTGTGAATGAGGATAAGTAAACATATATTCTATCTCATTAGGATTGATTGTTGTGTCCAAATAAATTTACCACTTCATTGGACCGCAATTCACCTAATTCCAATTTATCGATACTATCCTTGCACATCCACACTTCACCCTGAATCCTCTCGATACGACCAATTGTTTTGAAAAATTCTTCCATACGATTAACTACGAGTTCATGCGTATAATTCAGGTACATTGGCATTGACCAATCAAAAAGAATATCCTCAGAATGAAGCATATCAACATAATCTAATGAGTCAATTGGACAAAAGAATCCAAAGCTCTCGTAAATATGATTATTTGGTGTCGATGTACAGCCAGGAAAATGAAGAAATACAGGAACATTCTCTTCTGGCCATACTTTTGAAACATAAAAATAAAACTTCCAAACTCGATGAGTTAAATAAGTCTTGATTGTTTGATGGAACTGTGAAATAAACAAGAAAGCAACGGTGAATGTTAAGGATAACAACCAGTAAAAGAAATATTATGTTTTCGTGCACTTGAAAAGAAAATTGTTGTGCTTTACGCTTTCCGAATTTCAAATTATGCAACAAAGTACGTGGTTAGCATATCCTAGAAACTAGCAAGTGCTTGCCAATACAAAGTAGTTATGTATTATTCTCATTATAATAGTATTATAATGTAAATTAAAGCAATTGCGCTTCAATAAATTAAAATTATATTTTAATCGTTCAGTAAGAGGCCGTTCACGTACGTTACGCAAAAAAATGACTTTTTTCACCCCCCCCCCCCCCCCCCCTTGTTACAATATGTTACAACTCACAACCCCCCCCCCCCCCCTGAACGTTCATAATTTATTTTATTTTGATAATTTTTTATAGGTATTATGATGATTGATTAAGATATAACAAAAACTATGTATTGCTTAGCTATCAAAAGTGATCTGAACATTCATAAATCATTAAAAATGTGGAAAATTTAAAAGAAACGTTTTTGGTGTGAATTTGTAAACAAATTTTTTTCGTGAAATTTTTTTTTAAGACCCCCCCCCCCCCTATGTTACATTTTGTTACAAATTTTCAAACCCCCCCTCCCCTTTAAAATGCGAACGTAATAAGTGAACGCCCCCCTTCCCCCCTAAAATGCGAACGTAATAAGTGAACGGCACCTAAACAAAAATTACTGTTCAATTCAAAATCAATTTAATCGTTTAGTTTTAAACAAAAGAATTTTTCAATTGTACTTTATAAATCTAGGTTTATGATGAAGTTCATAAAAAAAGGAAAAGAAAATACTGCATAGTTGACGGCAAATTGGGAGAGCATGCCATGTTTCAGTAAAAAGGAAGAACAAAAAAATAATGAAGAAATTTTTTTTACGTTTTGGATGTCAAGGACAATGAACATTTTTAAGTGTTGGCGCATCGATGACCATAAAAAGCGCTTGAAGGCTTTTCAAAATGAATGTTAAAAGTGGTCAAAAATAAATTTGCAGTATAGTTGGTATTACATATGTGATAAGTAGTTCCCAATTTTTTTTATGACACGGTTTTTTGTAGCTGAGTTAATGGATATAGTACTTGAACTAAAATATGAATTGTAATATTTATCATGGTTATCACGAAACGACTTTTGTGTGCACTTGAGAAATATCGTATATACAGCCTGTGACACGAAAGTAAATACCGTTTTACTAAACAAGACAATGAACATAAAAGAAATTCTTTCGAGCTACCGTAAAAATTCTATAGCTCATTCACCATGAATAATTGTGCTCATCGTCTGGTACCTTTAATGAAATTAGAATGCCTTCTTTTTAATAAGTAGAACAAAACAAAATCTAGAAACGTGTTTATGAAGTTTCGCATGTTTTGTTTTAAAAAATCAATAGAAAATTCATTCAAATTACATATTTTTACTTTTCACATTAATGCTTTATACATGGAAGATTCGACTTGTTTCTTTGTACAAAACTAATGCATTTAGGAGCTGTAATCGTGTGTCGTTTGTAATTTATCGCGACTATCGTCTAAATAATTTCATTAAACTGCAAAGGGATCGTTCAATTATGACGTCCGAAAATAACGGTCATTTTTCAAAAAAGAATAATGAATTTTCAGGAATTTCTATTGTTCTTTTCTTGCTGACCCCCCCCCCCCCCCCCCCCGCGGACGTCATAAGTGAACGGCCCCAAATGATTCAATGTTTGCTGTGTGAAATTGAAAGAAAACCGAAATTTCCGTCAAAATTAAAAAGGGAGTTTACGGAGTTTACTACTAATTTTAAGATGGTTTATTTTAAAACAAAAAAGTCGTTAAGATTTCAATCATCTTCCATTACTTCCTTAAATTAAGTTGGCACGAAATGCTTTTCAACTGTCAAGACATGCCTTTGCAATGAAGCAAAACGAAGAAATAATAATAATCCAGTTCCAAAGGTCATCAAGGAATTGAAAAATTACATAGCATCGCACTACTTTGTCGCCAACCCAGTAATAAAAATGTTAATTTAATCCTCTTATTACTTCATCTACAGTCTAAAAGTTGACCGAACTCTCTCCACGCTTCAGACAGAACGGAATGGCAACTGCAATTTAATTACAGTGATACATATAAATAAATCTCACCTTTAATGAGTACGGTAAATACTTTTCCAATTCACTTAGTATGCTCGGCAATTCATTGTCATGTACCAATCGAAAGTTTTTACCCTCAGCAATGATTTCCATCTTCTGATGCACTAATTGAATAGAGAAGTCAGGAAATAAATATTAGAAATTGATCGGCAATTGATGTGGAAATGGATGATTAATGGGTCGTGAATTTAGGTTGATGTGATTGCTGTCTTATTGATAAGGAGTTATTCTGATTGACAAAATTAATAGGAGGGGTGTGGCACTTTATTGAGAAATTGGCATGATTAGTTCTCAATTATCACATATGAATTGTATGGCCTGGAGAGACTAGACAAGAAACTTTTTTCGTTCGTGGCAAAACCGACTCCATTTTGAATATTTTACTGAAGCCGTGGCATTAAGTTTGAGAACGACTGGTTAAACTGTTATAACAGTTAATCTCAAATTAAGAAGCTTGAAAATTGCAACTCTAGATAATAGATTAGAAACAAATAAGAATACATGTTGGGGGCCGTTCACTTATGACGTCAAGGGGGGGGGGGGGGGGGTCAGCAAGAAAAGAGCAATAGAAATTCCTGGAAACCCATTGTTCTTTTATGAAAAATGACTGTTAAATTCGGACGTCATAAGTGAACAATCCCTAAGCTGCATTACTGCCTTAATACTCTGTAATAATATTTTATCAAAATGATTGAAATTTTTGATTGATTCTGACAGAACATCGAATAAATGTCACAAATTTGTGTGATACATAAATTATTAATCTTAAATTTGTTGTGCATTCAAGTGTCATAAACAATATCCAATGTTTCAATCACACCTCAAATGAATTTATTTTTTTCAAACTTCAATTTTTCATTTGAATAGAAAAAAGTTTGAATTGCAGTCATTGATTAAGATCACAAATACATTTTTTTAAAATCGATTTTAATCACAGATTTATGCTTCGTACGTCATATATGATGTGGTCACAATGATTGTGTATTTTCATCTGGGAAATGAATGAGAAATGTGCTTTTTTTTGATGAATGTTGGCAATTTTTTTCATTTTATATTCACTAATGACTGTTTTGATGCTTTGAACTTTTTTGAATTAATCAAGCTTTGATGACAAGAGAATTCGAGCCCGATTTAAAGTTTTCAACATAAAATTGTTTCAAGCTCATTATAATTATGCGAAAACATAATAATTATTGAGAATTGGTTAATTGGAATTAATTTATAACATCAGAAAAATGAGCTGAATTATTATTTTAAAAATTAATTAATTTTTCAGCATATTAGCCCTCGGGAATGTTGTATTAAGCTATGAACCAATAAATTTAAAAAAACTGGGCTTCGACCTTCAAACTTTATGTGCTAATTTATATAAAATGAATTGGAGATTTTCAATTCACTTTTTTGAGTCCTTATGAGACAAAATACACTTTATAAGTCTTCAATGTTAGAAACTAAATCTCCGACGATGATCCATTAAGGCTTCACAACAATTTTATTATCAATAACAAATGGAATCCGTATGCGTGTTACAGTCAAATCTCAGTCATAAGGTAGAGGTGGATTCCATTAATTGTTAACAAAAGAACTGTGCCAGAGCCTTGACAGATCCGTCTTAAAGGTTTTATCATTTATATTTCTTTGAGTCTTGTTCTTAAAATCATTTTCGACCAAACTCCTTGATTCCTTAAAATTACATCAAATAATTTCATCAAAACCTTTTAAATATCGCAAACCATAAAATAATCTTTCTTCCAATTCTAATTCCCATAACATGTTTGTAAACAACATTTGCGAAATCTCTATCATCACTCAAACAAACCGCTGCTGCATCCAACAACATCGCTCTCTAATTACATTATTTACGGATATCTGGTTGATGTGGCTAAATGTTCTAAATAGCAGCAAAGAATAAAGGATAATTGAAATAGACTCGTTTTGCAACTTTGCGTTCCTAAAGTTATGACTGCTTCGTTAGTTCTGTTAATTAGAGCAATTTACTTCCAACCTTGAAAGTCTTCTATTGCTTTTTAAATTGACTTTGCAGTCATTTGTCTGTTGGATTTTTTAACTTTTATTTTTCTCAAAAAGAAGACATGAAGTCATAAAAGTAACAAAAAACTTTTTCTCCATCCATAAAACTTTCACATTTTATATCCTTAACAACTCTCAACAGTCAATCTGATGTTCCTTAAAATGTGAATCACCAAGTTCTTAAAATTGATTTTCCATGAAGCTACTACATTTTTTTTGTGAACTTTATGCATGCATGCTGTGTACGAATCGAATGATTTATTTATAAAATAATAATTGTGTACGTAGATTCATTTTTGGACAGCTTTTGTTATGTCGATGGCAATTTTACTCCTCATCTGATAATGATTTGTCATGAAATGTATGCAAACAACAACTTACCTTCCTTAAATGTGTGGATGTTTGTATGTGAGATTTTCAGCAGCAGCAGTAAAAGTAGTCTCAAGGAGATTTTGAGTAGCTTGAGAGATTAAAGAGTTAATGGATATTCAAAAAAGGGAATAATGGCCTTTGAAGATTGGAGGAATGTTGACCTCCTAGGCCCTATCCCACAACAATTACTTCTTGAAACTCGAAAGTTCTTTTTTAAATGCACGAAAGTATTTGAAGGTCGTTATTAAAAGAATGTGGAACGACTTCTTAAACTTTAAACTGTACAATTACGCATTAATTGGAATTCCTTACTCAAGCATTTATCGACGAAAAATATGAATCCACACGAGTGTATTAAGGACACAGACCTTCTTTTTATTTCGTCTCGGATAAAAAAAAAATAAATGCCTTGTCTTCCTGCTTCTTATGTCAACTTCACTCACTTATGTCTGTAGATGCTTTTAAATTGCACAAATATTTTTTGCCACCTACTTTTGAATCGTTCAAGGCAGGAGTGTGAGAGACGTGGAAGAAAAACTGTCTTTTCTTCCTTTTTACGAATGCTTTCGTCTTCCTTTATGCTTTAATCGTTCACTTGAATGGAATAGATTGCACTAAAGCATATGCGAGGAACTGACAAATCTTTTTTCAGCTAATTTTTATGTATTGAAAAAATATATATTTTATTTATGTTATTACTGCCTGGACCTTCTTTTTGGTATCTTCTCGACTCTTCCGATGACTGCTAAAAACTGAATTCTCGCAAATATTCTAACTCACATTTTCCTACAATTTTTCCTTCTTCATTTTCCATGATTTAAATTGTTTACTCTCCACTCCGTACGAATTCATTCAGTGTACGGATGTGCATAAAGCTTTAAGATATCTTCGTTTGCCATTCCAGTGAGCGAGAGAAATTGCAATGCAAAAGTCCTGTTGTTGTTTCCATTGGAAATATCATATGTAGTAAATAATGCAGTTCTTACTCGAAATTTGCTCTTCAATTCTCTCACTGGAACTTTCAATTGATTTGAATTTTTAGACGTTAGCTTGTTGATAAAGGAAGGATTCAGTTTTCATGATCAAAATTGTTATGGAAAGCATAATTTATATAGCTTTTTAGACCGAGACACTAAAAGTAGTTTTGGAAGGACTGAAATAATTAATAAAAAGGAGATTTAACCTCACTGTTCGTCCTTAACCTAGTTTATCATTCAAAAATTACTCATGACTTTTGTGTCAGAAACAACATACAAAGTGGAGTTGAGGTATAGCATTCATCCAGTAGCATAACAAGGAAAGGGTATTCTGAAGATTTTTTTCGCCAAATCCATCATTTGTGAATAATCCCCATTTAAATTTACCTCCCCAAAAAACATATTAATAAAGCTTCCAATCATCCTAAAATCCACTCTTCTAGTAAAATTCTCTCAATTTCTCTCAGAGCCTTTTAACAGCACTTAGACATGTGATCGAGATGTTATTTATGATATAGATTTTAGGAATGGACGAATTTTCATGTTTTGTGAACCAATTAAAATAAGTTTAATGAGAGATGCAAGAACAAGAAGAAACAAAAGAATGCACCATTGGAAATTTGGCAACAATGGTGAAAGCACGAGAGAATATAGAACATGTGATATTTATTTTTACGTTTATGTACGAAGCAAAGAGAACCGATTGCAATAGATATTACATCCAATTTATAAGGTTTACATGTTCTACGTGCTAGAATTGTAATGTAGCTCAGCTATTTGAAAATGAATAGTGAAAGTTATGCTGAAAGTTTATTGAATATTAGCAAAATATAATACCTGTACGGGTTGAGAGCTTGCGCGAATTGTTAGTGGAATGCTCAAAAAGGATTTTTTTATGGATTTATGTCTGATTGTACTTTTGCAGGCTACTCGTGTACATAAATTCAAAGGTTTGAAATTAAATTGTTTCTTCTTAGCTTCTGTATCTTTGTTTATTTACTCTGTTTGCTGCAGAGACAACACCTGAATTTCTCTGACGTCGTTTTTTAGTCATTTGTCATTGACTTTATATACACCGCTTAGTCATATTATTTATTTTATATTGTGACAACAATTTAAAGACATATGTGCGAAATCAGTAGTGAAATTATTGATGCATGATTATTATTAAGCGCTTGGAGAATGGAGAGATGTCTTGAACATCATAAGTGAATCAATTCATGTTAACGGACTTGATAGGATTTATTAAGGATATTAGGATTCTATAGTCAATTCTATTTTAATTACTTACAGATTATTGATAGATCTAAAATACTTTTTCGACGAACCTTAGCATGGATCTAAATTTCCAGTGCTTCGCTACTCTAGAGTGTCCTATAAACAGGGTGGGTGATTTAAATCAAAAATCAAAATCAGAATCTTTTTGCAATGATTTTACCCAAGTGATTTTTTCTCGATTTTGATTTAAATCATTTTTGCAAAGGGATTTTTTTGGGGATTTTGATTTAAATCTCTTGTATGAAAGATTTTTTTTGGGATTTTAAAATCCCTCCATATAAAATTTTTGTAAATTGCATACAAGTACGAAAGGAACCGATTAGTTCCGCAAAAAAAATTTTTGCTCCAGGATGTGATTCTTTGATTAAAAAGAAACAAAAAATTTTTTTTGAGATGTAAAGGATCTGGTCAGTTCGAGTGTCTAATCATATCTCTGGCTAAGAAATACAAACGTATACCTCTTTGGCAATGAAAACTTATCAAAAAATGCTTTAAAGGGACTGGAATTGACTAGTTCCTCATATGAAGCTAGATCCATTCATGCTTTATCATTTAGCTATACCAACATCTGCATACTACAATATCCAAAAGCCAAAAAGGATATCCATGATTAATGATTAATGTTTTTAATTAATCTTCTGAAAATTTCTAAACAAATTTTCACCTTCAAGTGATTTAAAATCCCAAAAAAAATCCCCATACAATGTGATTTAAATCATAAATCACAAATAAATCTTTCATACAAAATGATTTAAATCATAAATCACAAATAAATCACTTGGGTAAAATGATTTAAATCAAAAATCATTTTTCAAGTCATTGCAAAATGATTTTGATTTATGATTTAAATCATTTCACCCTGCTTATGAGGAACTGCAACTGAAAACTGTTGATTTAAAAATAATTTGAGAAATTGCATACACAAATTTTATATGGAGGGATTTTAAAATCCCAAAAAAAAATCTTTCATACAAGAGATTTAAATCAAAATCTCAAAAAAAATCCCTTTGAAAAATGATTTAAATCAAAATCCCTTTTAAAAATCATTTTTCATTGAGATTTAAATCAGAATCAAAAATAAATTCTGCGATTTTGATTTAAATCGCAAAAAATCTCCCCACCCTGCCTATAAAGATCGTATTTGAATATAGGAACCCTGCAAACCAACCTTAGAATCCATACCAAAGATATTTATTCTGAAAAAGAATCAACGTTTATTCAGATTTTGCCAAATCAAATAAGATTGAATGAGGAATTAAAATCATATTCATTCAGGAAGACAAAATAATAACAAAGATTCGAATGAATTTAAAATTGTTTAAAACTATTACATCTTCTCCATAAAACGCAAAATAGACAAGTTGTTCAGTTGCATTTCTTCGATCAGAGAATACTCATAAGTTTATAAGCAGCACTTAAAAGCTTTCCTTTGTGTAAATTTGCAGCTTATTTTGTAATCTAGCTTGATTGCTTAAACAATAATTTAACTTTTTAAGAATTTAAAATTTTATTAAAAATTGATTTTAAATTCAAACGGATTCAAACGAAAATTCAGCAACGTTATTCTGTGTTAAACATATATTGTGAAATAATATTCAAATATCATTAAGATAACATTTGCTGCGTGCAAATCATCAACATTTTAGTTCATACTTTGTTTTCACGGAAGTAAAATTGAGAGAATCAGCAACACAAAATAAAAACTGAGAGCGAAGAGAGAGAAAATAGAAAAGGACAGGAATCATAACAAGCCTGTTATTCATTCTGTGCGATGTGTTTTTGAGCACATAAAAGAAGTGATAAGAAGTAACGAAAAAGTATAGTAAAATAATTAAAAACAATGAGAAGAACTGGATACAATTCATTAAAAACTGAACGTGACCAGTCAAATTACGACAATATCGATGGAAAAATTGAAGATGTTGAGGAAGCAAAGTTTATTGACTGTAGAACTGAAGAAAAACCTCCTTACAAAACGCTCTTTCTAGTGTTCTTCTTATTTTTTATGGGTTTTGTGAGTTGTTATTGATTAAATGTTCAATTCTATGGCTTCTCAGAAATTAATTACATGCTTTTATCTATTTTAGTTCACATTAATTGTCAGCACATTGATTTTTTTTGGTCATCTCGATGAAAAAGTCTACGCAGACAGGATGATTCCTCTTATGATTTTGGGAACATTGATGTTCATTCCTGGTGCCTACTACATTCGAATAGTCTACCTCGTTGTGCGAGGTCGTGATGGTTATAATTATGAAATGATTCCGACATGTTCGTGAGAATTTGTTCAATATGTGCGAGCGTCAGCTACATTTATAATCCCATTACTAATTTTCTTTTCTTTCATGATCAATAATTAACAGAACTTGATAAATCAGACAAACGTTTTACACATTTTCGCTTAAATATGGATCATAAAATGTGGACAATCTTATTACATTTATGGAAATAACCTTTTAAATTATTTGCTTGAACTTTGAATACAACTTTTTATCAATTCTTTTTTTTTTATCACGAGATTTAAGACTTATTTATTGATGCGCTTACTTTAAGTTTTGTTTTGTAGTTCAATTAAGGTGTGCTGATAATAGATTGTTGATTAAAATTCAATGCCTTATACGAATGATATCTCCGAAATTGGAGATATCAATCAGAACTACATAGATGTAGCTTCTTGATCATCAATCAAAATGGCACACTTTAAACATTTCCCTTATTGCATTTGTAAAAGTCATTATTTGTATGTGACCAAGAAATTTATAAATAATATAGGTATCAAAAGACATGATAAGTCATTCTATTATTAGACACAATGACATTTGAAATAAAGTATCAACATATTTTTATGAAAAAGTAATGGAATCTTTGAGATTTTATTATGAAAATCATATCTAATGCATCAGTTATAGCAGACATATTCAGAATTATTTATAACAATTGTATTTATTGAAGGAATTACACAATTTTAGGCAATTCATTGCAACTTAAAGTTATTAAATTTTTAATTTCATGCAACGGTTTTTTTAAATTCAAAAATCTCAATTTTCAAACAGTGAATCCCTATAGAGTGAATACTTTTGAAATCTGCACAATTTTGTTCATGAAAATTTCATTTGCGTGAAACTTTTTAACCGATCTTTGTTAAGGCTTGGTTAAGGTTTTAAACTATTGAAAATAGTGAAACTTTTAAATTTCCAACCTTTTTTTTAAAGCTACGATGCTTATCAGCAGTGATATTCGCATTTTATTTTGAAATTTGCATGGAAATTTTTAAAATTTGCACAAAAAACTTTTGAAATTTGCACACTTTTTTGATAGCAATCTATGACATTTTTGAATCAGATTTGTGTCAACAAACAATATGTTTACAATTTTAAGGGTGAAGAAATATTATGTTTCGTGGGAAAGTTCCAAAGAAATCCAACAAATTTATTGTTATTGTGTTTTTATAACATCGTCAGAAGCATCGTCGTTGAATATCAACAGGAAAAATGCATATCCATTATAAGGCATAAAACATTAATGTTTTGAATCAGAAAAATTAATGTTTATATCATAAGAATTAATGTTTACATCAAATTTCGCAATGTCTCCTAAGCTTAAAAGTGTGCAAATTTTAAAAGTGAAAAACAAGCTTTTTTAAAGGTGATTTTTTGGGCACTTCCGCTTATTCTTTCACAAAAGAAATACTTCCAAAATTTTAAACAGCTTAAGAACTACATTTTTGGGTATCAAATGAGTTTGCAATTGGGTATGAGTGTACAAATTTCAAAAGTGTGCAATTTCAAAAGTATTTACCCTACATACCGAATCATAATATTTACCTTTTTCTTTAAAATAAATAAAACTCTCTCATTTAATTAATCAATCATGAGCGACAATGAAGAAGTAGCTACAAAACCATTAGCAATCGAGAGAGCAAAACAAGGACGTGCGAAATGCCAGAAATGCAAAAATAAAATCGATGTAAGATTTCATAAATTATGAAATTTAATATCATCATAAAAAATTATTTATTTTTCTAGACCGGCGAATTGAGGCTTGCAAAGTTAAACTTTAACAATCCATTTGGATCAGGTCCATTAAAGCAATGGTTTCATATCGACTGCTTTTGCGAAACGAAAGCAAATAAACAGAAAATATCACTTTGTAGCTCGAATGACATAGAAGGATGGGATTTAATTAGGAGTGCTGACCGTGATCATGCAATTAAAGTATTTGGTCCAGATTTTAAAATATCCACAGATGTGGATTTACCGTCTACCTCAACTTCGTCAAAGCAGACGAAAGATAATTTATTTAGTGAATTTAATAAGCTTATTGATAAGATTGCAAATGAACCGAGCTACAACAGCAAAAGTGCTATTATTCAAAAGTATCTACGTGAAGGAAGCAACAGTAAAAAATTCGAAGGGAATCTCGAGATATGGCTTAAACTGTTAGTTCCTAAAGTTGACCATCGAGTCTACAACTTACAAGATAAGCAGATTGTCAAACTGTTTTCAAGGATATTTGGACTGAAGCATGATGACCTCTTGAAAGACTTGCAAGCTGGCGATGTATCTGAGACAATATCCAAATTTTTTGAATCATCACGTGACATCAAACCAATTGAGAAAAGTTCATTGACAGTTATGGATATAGACAAGTTCCTCGATGAATTATCAACAAGAACTCTCGAAAATGATCAAATTGAGATATTTGAAGAGATCTGTAAGAAATCCACAACTGATGATATTCGCACGCTAATTCGTCTAATCAAAAAGGATCTTAAAATGAATTGTCGAGAACGTCATGTACTTGATGCCATTCATCCTGAGGCATATGAAAGTTTCCAGAAATCTCGTGATTTAAATAACATTTTACAGCAATATGGAAGTAATCTCGGAGCAACAAGTAAGTCAACAGCAATAAAATTAAGTGGCTTACAAGTCATGACACCGATATCTCCAATGCTTGCTGAAGCATGCAAAGATTTTGATAAAGCATTAAGTAAATGTCGTGAAGGATTTTACAGTGAAGTAAAGTATGACGGCGAAAGGGTCCAAATTCACAAAAGGGGAAATGACTTCAAATTCTTTAGTCGCAATTTAAAACCAGTTCAAGAACATAAAATCGGAAAGATCAAAGAATATCTTCCAAAAGCTTTCCCAAATGCAAGCGATTTAATCTTAGATTCAGAAATAATCATGGTCGATACAATAAGCGGAAATTTATTGCCTTTTGGAACATTAGGAAAGCATAAGAAGAAAGAACTTCAGAATGCCTCAGCATGCCTTTTCATATTCGATTGCCTTTATTTCAATGGTGATGATTTGACAAAGAAAACTTTAAGGGATAGAAAGAAATTCTTAGAATCAAATATGCAGCCTATAAAGCATCACATTGAATTGTCCGAATATAAATTATTAACGAAGAAGAATGAGCTTATTGAAATGACAAAGGAAGTATTGAAGAAAGGACTTGAAGGATTAGTATTGAAAGGTCTCGAAACAATTTATGAGCCGGGAAAAAGGAGATGGTTAAAGGTCAAAAAGGATTATTTAATGCAAGGATCAATAGCAGACAGTGCAGACTTGGTCGTGTTGGGTGCTTTTTATGGAACGGGTAAGATGGGTAATCGATTTAGTATCTTTTTAATGGGATGTTATGATGAGAAATGTAAAGTATGGAAGACAGTCACAAAAGTTCACAGTGGATTAGATGATGCGACAATGGAAAAGATGCACAAGCAGATATCACCATTAATGGAACCATTCAGTTCAAACAAGAAATTACCACAATGGGTTCAAATCGATCGATCACTCATCCCCGATGCGCTAACGACAGATCCATTTAAAATGCCAGTTTTTGAGATTGTTGCTGCTGAATTTACCGATTCGGATGTTCACACAGCAAATTCAATTTCTATGAGATTTCCTCGTATTACAAAGATTCGTAAAGATAAATCACCCAAAGAGGCTACAACATTAGATGAATTGACGCATTTGTATGAAGAATCAAAGGCAGGGCTTAATATTGATGAACTCAACAAATTGAAAAGCAATAGTGAAGATGTAGATACTAATAAAAAGTCTCCTGTTACTAAAACTGCATCATCATCGTCAATGACATCGAAAACAAGTTCAACGGAATTGATGAAGCGTAAATCAGATGATAACAAGAGAAGCAATGATGAAGAATCACCTTCTAAGAAAATCAAGTCTCGTAATTCAGAAAGCAATCAAACAAGTGAGAATCTTTTCGAATCATTCGTGCTATTCGAGACAGACAGCTTGAATGAGAACCAAATTGATAGCTTCAAAAAGTACGGAGGGAAAATGACGAAAAAATCAATGAAAGCTAATTTGGTGCTGTATGATGGATGCGAGGTAAGAGGAAGTTTAGATGATATGAGGGAGCTTTATGTGCCGAGTTGTAGGCATTACCAGAAGTCATGGCTAGTTGATAGTTTAGCTAAGAAAAAAGTTATGGAGCCTATTAAATATTTTGTCGAATTAAAGCAGTGTTGAGGCTTAATATTGTGAATTTTTTACGATTTTTTTATTTTTGAAAAAGTCATAATAAGTTGGTTTGAAGTTTTTATCAGTTTTTGATTTGTTTTTGTCTTTAAATGTTCTGATATATTGAGTCATGTGTCTATTAGATCCAAATAAATCACATTGATCTGTTCTCTGTACTTAAAATCATCTATTTTATGCTCGAAATATCAAATTCAATGTTAATTTGCTAGAAGTTTTTAAAAGTTTGATTTTAATTCAAATCTTTTTGAATTTTTTAAGATTTCGAATCTCATTAATGCAATTAGTGGCTTTTCATTAGTAAGACGTCATTTATGAACGATACACTTTAATTTAAAATTGTTTTAATTTATTCAACATTATCAAAATAAAGTAACAAACTGCAGAAAATAACTCAAGATTATTATTAAAATAAATCTATCAATTACGTCAGTAATATGAATTATATCATCGACATGACAAGTACAATTCGATCCCTTTTAGATTGTCATCGTCATCATTATTAATTCACTAGGGCAGCATTGAAATTCACATTTCACGCAACAAGTGTTGAGTTTTGCAGGCAGTCCACGTTGTCAGCATGTGAGTGGAGCTTTTGAGTGAAAGCTTTCAACATTTTGTAGGCATTTGCGCACTGCGATTTTGTGGTTCAGAGATGTTTTGGGCTGAAAATTATGTTGAAAATGTTGAAGCTTTTGCCTCCTTGTTGCATCTCTTTGAAAACTCCCCACACGTTAAATGCTTGAATGAAAGTATAAAAGAAGAATCCTTTCATCGAAACACACCATTCAAGCACTAGTTGTCTTTCAGTAAACATTTTAAGAAATAAGGCACAGCTTAAATTTTATCATTTCATGTGAAGTGTTAAGTTAATTTCTATAAATCAAAAAAAAAAATCTTAAGTTAATTTGTGATAATTTAAAAAATCTCAAAAAGGAAAGGATTATAATCTCAAAATGCAGCAGTTCTGGAAAATTGGAATAATTTTTGTGCTTATAATTTCAACGGTAAAGTGAAAATAAATTTTTTGAGCATTCTTCAATGTTTGATGTGCAAGTTAATGGTGAAATAACTCTTAAAACTGTTAATTGCTATCTGAAGATTGAATGCGGATGTAAATGGAATTAATGTTTTGAGTGCTTAAGCTTTTGGTGGATGATTATATTCAGTTCTTGGCTGATGAAAAATTTTTAAATGTTGAGCATTTTGCAAAATTTCGAGTGTTCCTTAATCAGGAGATTCAATTGAATTTTCAATATCTGGTAAAAGTTATGTTATATCCGTTTTCTTCTTTGATTAATGATAAACTAGAATTTTTTCGTGAAGATGCAAGGTTCTTGCTCATTTGAAATAGTTTTGATTGAACAATGGAATCAAAAGAGTTTTAAGTTAAATCAATAATTAATTCAGCCTTAAAAGTTCTAAGTTCATATAACTATAGATTGTAATCTATCTATATTCTTATTGAATTTCTATAAGCAAAGTCATAACTTAAACAAGTATGAAAGATTAAGATTCAAATCTTTAATAATATTGCTAAATGGATAAGACAAAACTTAGATTTTTATCCCAGAAACCCCAGCAAATTTATAAAGTCCGTCTACAAAAGCTTCTAACCTAAAAACCTTGTGATTACGCTCCTGGATTATTTGTTCTACTTAAGTATAAGTCCATCCTTTAGCCAGACAGAGTTGGACACGATTTAGTCAGTCTTAAACTTAAAGGGAAACCTCAAACGATGAGTAGATAAAAAACTATTACTAAGCATAGATTAGTATTAAATATTCATGAAAACCTTAAGCTCATTCGCACCTCTGAATTCTTTTAAGGCAATGAAAATTTTAAAAGGTCCAAAATTAAACTTTTCTCTTAACCTTAAAACAACAATATCTTCTTAAACTCTGCCAGACATTTCGGTCATGTACATTTCATTAAACATTTTATATCTTTCAATACGGAACAGTAAAATTGGATCATAAATTCCTGCACCAGTTAACTTCAGAAACCGCTTATGTGTATCATCTCTGCAACCAATTGTCCGATAAATTTCATAGCTTTATTTTTCCAAGAATACGTTACCACTAATTGAATCGATAAATGAGACAGCAAATTGAATATCGGTTACCTTGATAAACACGTTAAATTCAACAAACATTCAGGTTTAATCAACAAACAGAAGCTTTTGTGTTAAAATTTAATTAATTACTGCTTTGGTAACCTTTAACAAAGTTACAAAACTGACCATGTGCTAATTAATGCTCAACTAATGAATAAATGAATAAAAAAATCCACAATCGGAATTCCCCACAGATTAAAGTTCAAACCATTTAAAGCTTTAAAAATCATTACGATTCTATTACAATTTAAGCGATTCCGTTCAGATAAAATAACAAAATAAACTTGTGGCAAATGTTTCATGCAATACTTTATGTGCTAATGATAATGGTGCATAAATTGAAGTAAATTAAGTGTCACAAATGTTAATTGGAAGAGGATATAAGCATGAAGAAGCTTTTCCGCCTTTTCATTTCTTCAATATCATTCGTCTATTAGACATAAATCCCTTAACTTCCTACAGCCACACGATCATATCTTTAAATAAATTTTCCTTCTTTACTCTTTCCATTTATTTGCTTAATCTCTCGACGTATATTTTAATCTTTACTGGTGATGCAGAATTTGGAGATTAAGAAAATACTGAAATTGCTGCCTGCTGATCTAGCATAATCTCGAAGATTTTAAACTCTATCCTTATTCTTAAATAAATTGAAAATTTTAACGACTTATTTAAATTTGAAAAAAATTCTGGATCTTTTTTAAAGAATCTTCCAAGATACTTCAAAGAGACCTTTAATAGTGCGTTTGAAAGCTGTAAAGGGCTAACAACTATTAAACGGGAAATCAACTAAGGGGCCGTTCACTTATTACGTTCGCATTTTAGGGGGGAGGGGGGGTTTGAAAAATTGTAACAAAATATAACAAAAGGGGGGGGGGGGGGTCAATAAGTATGTAACGTTCTAACTGTCGTCTGTCTTTTAAAAAATGTTCACGAAAAAAATTTGTTTACAAATTCATACCAAAAACATTTTTTTTAAAATTTTCCTCCTTATTAATGATAAAATAAATTATGAACGTTCAGGGGGGGGGGGGGGGGGTTGTGAGTTGTAACATATTGTAACAAGGGGGGGAGGGGGGTTAATAAAGTCGTTTTTTTGCGTAACGTAATAAGTGAACGGCCCCTAATTGCTCTGAAGAATCAAACATATTGCTCTGGTTTGAAAAGGATCAAAATAAAAAATCCCAATTTATCACCATTTTAATTAATCTTGTAGCATTTAAAGGCAAAATTCAACCTTTATTAGAAGGAAATAAAGCAAATCATTGCACCAAAATAATGTTAAACTCATAAATTTCCGATCAACTAAGCATTACGATTTACGTCAGAGAAATATAACCCAAATGTTTCTTTCTAATCATCAGCTGCACGCTGAAATATACTTACGAAATAAGTAATATGCCTAGGAGCAAAAGAAATACGATAAAGCTTTCCACTTCCTTTATAAATTGTCTGAATGAATGAGATTTATAAAGAATAATTTACTCAAGAGTTATTATCATCATTTTTACTCGTCAATCCTACATTTCAAGCTATTTTTAAGACAAATCCCTTTTTTAATGCTTAAGCACTTGTTTATTTGATATTAAGAAGAAAACACTCAATCCTTAATCGATCATATTGTTCCAATTGAGGAATTATTCTACATTTTATTCAACCTTTTTTTTTCCATTTCAAACCCCTAAAATATAATTCTGTACTTCATTTTACACTTTATTTCAATTTACGACGCAACACAATAACCATTCAAAAAACATTTTCTTTTGTGCTGTTCAATTCACATCACGTAAGCAGGTCAAAGGACAGTATAGTTCAGACGATACAATCGAAGATGAAATTAATGCAATTGAACGAGCTCTGGCGGAAAATTCGAAATATGAAATGCATCGTAGAGCATTGGAGAAAATATTCGGTAACTTATTAAATACTTACGAACGTAATGCCGATTTATATGAACCAGTGGAAGAGGATGAGAAGCGTTCGATTGCAACACTTGCGAAGAATGGACAATTACCATCGCGAGAACCTGAAACTGAAATGGATTCAATAGGAGAAGATGATAATGGTCATAAAAGAAATATTGCTTCAATGGCACGTACAGGCATGATTGGTGGAAAGCGAAATATACAGTCTTTAGCAAGACAATGGCAGTATGCGAATGGAAAGCGAAACATAGGCTCACTGATGCGAAACAACATGTTTCCCGGCTCCGGAAAAAGAAACCTTGCAGCACTAGCTCGAAATGGCTTTGGCAAAAGGAATGTTGGAACACTCGCAAGAGACTGGGCATTACCAAAATTGAATGGCGGATCAAAATATGCTGATGGTATGTTTAAAATATTTCGTCTTTGAAGTATTTCAGTTTTATATTTATTTGAAGCCACAAAGCATATAAACATTTATATTCAGTGTTTGAGAAGATTTTGATGGAATTTCTTATGCATTACGGTAGACGTAACTCAATTGATCCATGAATTTGCTCACAAAGTTAATATTGAAGTATTTAAATTTGAATAAGGACGTGTTTTGCATTTGAGTTTGCAAAAATAAAATTCGTTTCAAGACTTGTTCATGTATTTAAACATGCTATGGACACGTCGAAAAATCCGTTATTTTTTGCTTTGAATTTCAAAAAACCGTTTACTTTCCATGAATATTTCTTGCAAACACTGGCAAAACCAAGGCTTGGGCAAACGATTCTTATTCTTAGCTTCATGTTTAGCTAAGTTTAGCTAAAATCATCCAAGAAAAATACTAGAAATTAAATATTAATGCTCAAAATCCTAAAATTGACAAACTTTAAACGGTTTTAAAATATTCAAACACTAGGTCGAATAAATTCAAACATGTCGAAAATATTCGACTCTGAAATGTCCGTAGCATGTATTTAAATATAAAGGCTTTGTAGCTTACGAAGCACATGAGAGATTTGATGTCTTGAAATAAATTAAATTGAAAATATGGCTTAAAGTGTAGCTTAAAGAAAAGTCTAGATTGTTACTTCTTAAGCAATATGAGCAGCCGACACAAATAGTGTGGCAGTCATATAGAAGCAACCAATTGACGCAGACTTGACAATTTATGATCCATTCCCTGTATACTTCTAAATTCTTCTACGTGAATAGCTTCAATGCACTTCTCACATAATTAATTTTAATTCAAGATCAAAGAGGCAAAACGTAGATCCACCCACGAACCACTTCTGAGATATCATTAAGCACAAAGTAGGGATTAGAATAAAATAGATAATTAGTCAAAAAAATCACGTGTTTTTAATCTCTAAACGAGTTCTAGAAGAATTTTAACGCTCATTCATGAATTTTTTCGTGGAAGATTTTTAATAAGCATAAGAAGAGCAAACAAAGATTATCTCCAACACTGACGTCATTACTTCCGGAAGGCATCAAAATTTATTACTTTGAATTCTTTTTTTCTGTCCTTTACAAACATCCATTTAGAAGACGGAAAACGCAATATTCAATCTCTAAAGAATTCAATCAAAGGAAGAAAGAAGCGCGAAATTGTCGGTGAAAACGAACTTTCCGAGGGTGTCTTTCAAAATGGACCCGTTGATTACGATGAACTCCTTCAGGCTTTAAATGACGAATTCCCATATGCTGAAAAGAGATTTTTGGGTATGTAAAATAAGATATTAAATCCTTCTTTATGATTACAACTTTTATTTTATTGCACGTAAAATGCCACGATCATAAAAATACCTTTTTTTCTCTCTCTATCGACTTCCTACATAAATTACAATTTTTTTTTTTTTGTATTCAAATCCCTCTTCCAAAATGAAAACATATTGCAGCACCTTATGAGTCTGATAATGATAATAATGATAATGATTACGATGCAGCAACAACAATAACATTAGAGAAACGTCATCTTGGTGCACTCGCTCGCAGTGGCTGGATACCCTCATTTAGGCCGATACGAAATCGTTTTAGTCGATCAGGACGTACGGAGAATATGGAACAAACTGTAAAATGAGCCTTTTTAATTTTACTGTTCCATGTCTTTTTTCTCCTCTCATACTCTCTTTATGTTATATATGTTAGATTAGATGCGGGAATGAACATTTATCTCGTTTGTGTTTCATTTAGTTATGTATATATTTTCCTTTTTGTCCAAAACAAAAGTCAGGATGTGCGATTAGACAAAACTAGTTGATAGTTTTTGAGCTCATTTGAAAAATTTTCTGAGCATGTTTTTAATATTTTTTTTAATTCTTAAAACTTTATTTTCTATTTCTACTAGAATCTTATTTTTCATTGAACGTACTCGAGATGCACTAATATTTTATTGAACGCACTCAAGATGCGAAAAGTGTTCACTAAACACACTTAAAAAAATTTTGAAAAACAAAGATGCAAAAATATTTTTCTGAACGCAATAAAGATGCGAATATATTTTTCTGAACGCAATAAAGATGCGAAAATATTTTTCTAAACGCATTCCAATACTAAGCTGTTACAAAACGCATTTAGTCAAGAAATAAAAAGCATTCAGTCTTATTTTCGTCTCAGAAAACCGTTTATAAAAATTTCACTGTCGACACCCCCTTGAAATAAACGAATGACATCTGTGACTTGAAGTTCAAATGAGAATTAAGAGAAGAATTTATGCTCTGTCTATGCATTCAAGTGAATGTTTAATGTCAAAAAGAAAAACGAGTCCCTTCTTCCATCCGCGCCAAAATTCCTCACTTTTGTATATATGTTAGGTTATAAAATTAGCTGAACATATATAGCATTTAAATGCTCTAAAAGTGAATAATTAAAAAGTGTTTCCCACATTGTATGTTTTAAAAGGATTTTTAAGTACACTTGAATGTTAATATTTAAAAGTTTTAACACAAATAACTTTGTAGTTTTACTTTCCCTTCTTTAATTTGATGTTATTGTTGGTTGTTGCTGTTTTTTGCTGTTGTTTTCTTCCCCATTTCCCCTTTCCTTCATCACATTTTCTTAAAATTGGTAGTAAATGTAAATGTGCAAATTTTGTTGCCATTTTATTATTTTCCCTCTCTCCATTCAAACTTTCATTTCGTATGATGGAATTTTTGGAATTTTAATCGAAAAATACCATTTGACATTTTGTTCTACATTTTAAAGGCTATCATTGTACTTAAACTTGAAAGAATGAATTTTTACAAATGTTCATACAATTGCCTTTACATTCTGAATGGCTGGGAAATTTTCATTGCGTGAGATCATTATGAGAGCATTTCCTTTGAAAGAAATTATTACCGTGGACGTTTATGAATGGAAATTTGACATTTTCATTCACATTTATCATCTGCAGATGAGAGTTGTTTGATAACGTTAATGATACTCGCTTTGAGATTTTAATGACGATGTTTTAATTGAAATTTCGTCGTCTGGATTCATTCATTGATATTTAATAAGTTTGATACAAATTTTTATTGCTGAACGCACTTGAGATGCAGAACTTTTTTTCTAAACGCACTCGAGACGCGAAACTTTTAATTGAACGCTCTCGAGATCAAAAGTTAAATTTATAAAACTCTTTGTTTTAATGTCATTTTTTATCTTGTTACTAACAGACAAACGGTCCATATTATTCAATAAACAGATACTTAATGTTCTCATCAACACCCAATATTCCATATTACTTACATTACTTCGTTGTCAAGGTTTATAAACTCCTTACAACATCAAACGCTCAAAATAGGCCTAAGATACAGGAACTGCTTTATACATTTAAACAGAATCATTACTTCCTTTATGCTGTTAAGAGGCTCTGATATCAAACATTTTGTGATCTCAAATAAATGCATCCAAAAAGCTTAATTTCTTGGAAATCATTTGAATATATTTGAGGATATTCAAAATTGGATGTTTATCATTTTGATAAACTTCCACAAACATTACAAAGCGTTGATAGATGTAAATCTTTTACATGAGTCATTAATTAATCGGGTTAGCACTTAAGAATCTTCCAGAATATCTAAAATTACACAACCCTTTTGCACATCCTACAAACCAATTATTCACATCATAAATTTCGATGTCAAGTTCTCGGAAGCAATAAATTAACAGCTACAATATACATTAAAGATGCTACGTAATATTGTTTCTAAAAATGACAATGCAGAATATGGTTAGGAAGTAGAGAGAAATTTATTTGATGAAGTATTTTAAACTTAGCAAGGGGATAACAACATGATGGGGAAAAGGATTTGATGAGAAATTGAAATCATGGCTCTTCGAAATTTCAATAGTGAATGGGTGTGAATTTCCCATCATGTTGTTTTCCCCTTGGCACTACAATTTCTGACTGTTGAATATATACTCAGCTAGAAGTAATATTTTACCTCAAATAAGAGTCAAATGATGTGCAAATTTAAAACGATCGGGAGTTTGATGCATAAATCATGAGTTGTTTAGAGTTGAGTTCCTTGAAGATGCAAAACCATGAATATAAAAATCAATATAGAATAATCAAAAAGCAAGGAGTTGAAAGTCATGCCAATGGCATTATATTACAGTACATAAGAAGAAGATGATGACGGGAAGCACTTCTAGCTTGAAGCTTTTAATTAAAAAACATTAAAGTTAACTGTTCACTTTCTCGTCACTTAAGCTGTAGTGTAAATATGATTTTTAATTCATTAACATCAGTTCTCTACTGCTTCCTACGTTCCCTTGATAAAAAAAACTAAGGAAGAACTTGCCGTAAAATTTCAATTTAATTCTTTTTAAAAGCTCAGTTTTATTTTACTTATTAAAGTGCAATATTGTAAAGGAGTGGTTTAAAGCTAAGTAAGAGATTCTATTCAAGGGGCTGGTAACGCTTTTAAGATGGAGGGAAGAGGGGTCTGAGATTTGGTGATAGTTGAAATAAAACAGATTTTGAAAAGTATGACCCCCAAGAAAGTTCGCAATTTTTATGTTAATTTTACGTCACATGCTCAAACCAATGTCGCCATAAATCTATACTAAATGAATAAATAGGAATGTAGGCTCCTTCCAGAGTTTGATTGGTGTGTTGTAACTTGAAAGTATTGACATCCTACACTTAGATCGAATGGAACTCTTCGACAAGACAGTTACTATTCCTCATTTGGTTATAAATGACAAGAAGTAGGCTTTAACAACTCATAATGACGGTAAAAGCTCTTTTACAACCTTGGAAAATCAGAAGAGATTCACAAAAGTTCCCAATCAATCAATTATCCGTTAAATACAACGTTACAATTTCCATTACGTCACTTAGTTGCAGACAATAGAGCAGAAAAATTCCCAATTAAATTACTACTGAAAAAAAATCATAATAGAATATGATTGCTGATTGCCTTCACACAAATTGAATCCTATTATAGTTAATACACAGTAAATTATACGGCATGGAAAATTATGTCTGTCGCATCGTATTGACTGTGGAGTCATAGCATACAAAACCATTCGATGTTCACTTTTTCGGTGGTTGATTTTATGGTTTTTTCCTCGAGGAATCTAGAGATAGAAAAAGAATTCATTATTGTGTGTTTATGTGTGTGCGTACAATTTTATATGGTTATGACTGCTAGAGTAAATTGTTATGTAGTGGGTAGGAGTATCAATAAAACTTTTTTTATGAAAATTACTCGATCGAGTATCGTGGATTTTAAAATCAGGGCGCATTTCTATTGTTAAAAAGTTTGTGAATTGTTCGAAAGGATTTAAATGTATAATTTTTAATTTAAAACTTCCAGGAATAAAGTTTATCTGAGTGGGAGTATGAAAATTGTGCAAAAATAGAATGAATTGTAAGAACAGACTCTGTAATGTGTTAAATAGATAGGGGAAGTCTGTCTTCAATGTTGTTTTTTAACATTTTAATGTATTGTGCAAAGCGTTAAATTTTTAAATTTAAATTTAAAATCAAAAAACCGCTGGAAGGTGTTAAAATCAGACAAAACAATACATTGCAATCGGAAGTGAGCTCCAAAATGTCAATATTAATTGACCTTATGCAAGCAATCCTTTATAAGAACGAGCCCGCTTTAGCGATAAATAATTTCTATTGTTTCACTTCCTCAACCATTTGCGGTCGTCTGTCAATAAACCCTCACTTCCGACAATTTTGATGATTTTTCCTCGTCAGAAGATTGATTTATAATACCAGTCTAAAATAGTCCAATGCAGTAAAGCTATACCTTAGCTATAAATATAAAATTGCTCTGCTACAGCCAGTCATTCATCCGAAAATCGAACACAATTGTAGTGCCATTAAAAGCACACTTATGGTCAAAATTTATTGCATGCATCTGTTTACATTGTTATAGTTTGGTATTCATTTATTTACCTTCCTACCTTATCTCATGTCCGAATCAATTAAAAATATATATTTTTCCAGTTTATTGAAATTTTATTGCTGTCAATACCATAAGTTAATGCTGTGTTTCAATATTTAATTGCCATTTTTTTTTATATCCATACAGGGCGAATCCTTCTACCAACTCGACAGACTACGACCGGCTCCTCTCGTAGGCACTTCTTGTAGACGATGCGAACAAGACCAACAATCTACAAATGGTATGAGAGGTCAGTGGGGTTTGGGCGATAATCATTATCCATCCTTTGGGGGTTTATCATCTCCCGTTCGAACACGCTCAGGCAGTCGATCACGTTCACCAAGAATAACAGCATTAAATTGGCGTTCGGATAGATGGTAGAAAGTGAGAGAAAAGGATAAAATTGTGTATAGATTATGTTTGAATCGCGTATGATAAATCCTCATTACCATTTCATTTTACTTTTATACTTTATCCTACTCAGAGTTGTGAATATTGAATATTGATCGTGGAAGTCAATCTTTTTGTTGATTCGAGTGCTCAAATTGCTTTCCGTCATCAATTATTATTTATAAATCAAAAAGTCCACTTACAGCATTGCGAAGGAGTAAAATAACATTTTTGGTGGGTTTTTCGATGTAAACCATTGCTTTCAATCTGAATTGATTCAAACTACATAAGTGCTGCTAATGTTATTTATTTTTAAAATAATTGCAAAACTCACTGGGGATTATATGGAATGTTATTTTTGGACCAGACTATGTTGTTGAACTCTGACTAATTGCTTGGATGTAGACATTAAGGACACTCAAGAAGTAGCCGTTAATATAGCCATATTACGTTGCAATCAGCTGAATTTGCAATTAACACGAACTAAGGTAGCGCTTTGGTACCAAAAATATCAATTTCTGCTAGTTCCTTACTGTTTTTTTTAAACCATTCTTAGGCCCTTATCATAGGACCTTACCTTATAATATCACTGTACTTCTTAGTGACGATTATGATTATTTGGCTAGATTCTTAAAAATATACGAGCCTTAGTTTATGAATCAACAATTAAATGCTGAACATTTCCAATTCAATGGAACCTAAACTTCAAAATGTTACAGTACCGTACATAAGAATTAATATTTTCTATAAAAATAAGGCAAATAATACAAAACTTCTTCAATTTCAACCCAACAACATCCAACTCTGAGATTTTTTATTATTTCATCCTCATTTTAAAATTTAAAAGCCTAGATTGAAAGCTTTTTGCTTCAATAAAACTTGAAAGCATCGTTCCTTTTTATTGTTTCCGTGGTTTCCAATTAATTTTAATCTCCTACTTTATTTTTATAGAGTAGATTTGATGAGAATTTCTTTGATTTAAATCCCATATTAGTGTTCAATTACATTAATAAGTCAGTACATCGCCCACTTGACGTAAACTCTCATGACTTGAGCTACGATAATCTTACTTAATTCTCGTAAACATATAAAAAATAAAATCCAGATTTTTCATATCCTATTATTATGATTAATATAAATAGATAAAATACAATACAAGCTAATAAGAATGACGATGATGATGATGATGATGAATATACATATAAAATATCTTACTTATGACGAAAGAAATGAAAACATATTTGCCATATCATTGTAAGATTGAAATCTCCTGTAACTAACGTAAGATTTATTAATTTGACATCCCACCAACGCAAGTTTAGTTCAAACTTCTTTTCTTACTTACGTTATTTCATTTGATTTGATTCATATGCTTACGTATTATCAAAAAGAAAATAGGAAAAAAATGGAAAAAAGGCCATCCATCATCAAATTATATATCTATCATGTGGCTGGAATGGTTTATGGTCATTTTCAATTACTTTTTTTTTCTCTTTTCTTTTTGATTTTTCTTTATTCGTGTTTAAGATGAAGGAAATTAAAAATAGTTACGAATTATAAGAAGAGATAAGGAGACTCTTTGATATCTCATGAAGAAATGGAATTTGATGGAAATGTTCAAAGCTCAAAGAAGTTATTTTTTTGTGAATCAAAATCCTTTTTAAGAATTGATCATTTTGGTCTATGAAAATTAGATATTCAACTGATTTTAGAGCAGATATCGAGAATCTTTAGGTTGAATGATCTCTTGAATAGCATTTTTTGGTCTCCGAAAGAAATAGATATGGATACAAATGATAGAAATGAATGCAAAATTAAATATTGAATTGACAATACTTGGATTATTACTAGTAATGAAGAATGATTCAAAGGAACAAACTATCTGTCAAATATAGTATAGAATAGTTGTCATCAAATTCTTACGAAAAATATGTTAATCAGACCGGTGAAAAGTTGGCTTCAATCATGCTTTAAAAAAGTCTGTTTAATTTCAGCCTTGCTTAAAACAAACTTTTTAATTTTCTCGATGCTGCGAAAGTCAATGAATCTTAAGGACGATTCAAGATGTATAGATGAGCTCATACAAAGTATACTTGACCATACTTGACCATACTATTTTTGTATACTAATACAAACAAAAAAAATTTTAAATTTAAAATTTTCAAGTTTTCATTTAAATACCGATAAATTCATAACTGTTCGACTTTAGTCAGTTACTTTAATTAATAGTAAAGCATTTGCAATATTCCTGTACCAACAAAACATAAAAGAAAGTTGAAAATTTTGCAAAACAAAAATTTAAAGTTTTCTATCATAGTGTTAGTGTTTACAGAAAATTCAAAAGTTTGTCCCTTAAAAACAGTGATATTTTTGTATGAGCTCATCTATATATCTTGGGACGATTCTACAACTTAATTGACTAAGATCATATTTTATAAATCGATCCTTTAGTTGTGGTCTGTCTTAGTTCTAAAGTTCTTATAGATGAAAATCTAGAGGCTGGTTTCTGGAGCTCCTTAGGACACCTTACTCTAGTTCCAATCAAATTTTGTTTGTCCATTTTTGATCCTTGAGTAGGTTGCCCTAAGTTGTCCTATAAGCTAGTTTGATAAAAGAGTTTTCGATATCAATATAAATTCTGGTGAGTTCTAAAATTTATTTTTACCATCAATGCCACTCGTCACGAAGAAACAAAGCTAATCAAAGCATAATCAAGCTTCTGAACATTTCCATTAAATTCTTTATGTCTCAAAATTAATTCAAGAATGTCTAAATTTAAAAGATTTTTTATTTTACAAATTTAATGTGAAACTCAGCCGTGTAATATTTCTTCTTGCTGTGCATATGACAATGCTTTGAAGTTTTTCTATTAAAAGAATATTGAGAGAATAAAAAATAATAATTCAATTGACAATAATTTCAAATAAAAAGAAAAAATTCTCTCGTTTTTCATGAAAAGTTGAGGAAGAAGAATGAAAAATTTTAATGACAATATCAAATAATAAAAAAAAGGAACTAATAATGATGAAAAAAATAATTATGAGACAATACATTATACAAATATTTAAAATAACTATTTAAAAAAAAATTATTTCCAATAAAATTGTGAGGGAATGTCTGAAGGCTTTGTGCTGTTGTTGAATATGGGATGGAATTTTTGGAACAGAATCCGAGCAGCAATGACTAAGAGACTGATTTGGTGACTACAATGTTGAAAGTAGAACTTTACTTCTTCAATATAGCAGTGATTACCACTCGGGGTTATGTTTTGGACTAGAATATTCATCCAGAAGAGATATTACAATGAATTTGCTGATTTTGAGGATGTAGGTTTAGTTATCTGGCAATTGAAGTGATGACTTGCTGTTCCAGATCACCCCAAATGATGCAAACGGAACAGATTATATTCAAGTTTGTAACAAACAAACAACATTCAGAAAATAGTACTTGAGATTGCTTTCGGGATATCCAGAATTTTTAGTTTAACCCAAAAGGGAAATTAGAAACCTCAGCAAAATATTCTGTAGGTCTATAAACCATCGCGAATAGCAAATGGCACAAAAGAGACGAAAATTGATCTAATCCACAAAAATCAAGATCGGAGCTTGATAAACCTTGTATTATTCAGCACAAATCTAGTTCTTTGTTGATTAAGGATATGTCACATAGCCAAAATGGTGCTGGTTTCATCTGCCCAGTGTTGTAGCTTTTTATTCGCCTCTTTAACATCTTATGCCATTCGTTCATTTGAATCCCAAAGTTCAAACATAATGACTGCTTTTACCCATAAATCTTGCTAATCATTCGCGGTTAAATTATTCCACAGTGCAAAGCTGAGACAAAACCACAGTAAGACAAACCAAAGAATTTCCTTTAAACTATGTGAAAAATTTAAAGAAGATTTTTTTTTATTGTGTGATGCTTCATCACCCCCAAAAGCATACAATACATACTATAAAAGGAAAAGAAATTACATGACAATACATGAAAAATGACTATAATATTAAACGTTAACAAACTTTATTGAGTTTATTATATAGACATACTCATAATAATAATAATATAAATGATGATGATGAAAATATCAAATAATTTATGATTGCTTACTTATATGATGAAAAATGACAAGAAGCTTTCAGTGAAGAATGATGTATATAAGAGATACACACATACACACACAAACACAAAAATATACACTAACACATACACAAATACATACAATTTAAATTAAACTTATCACATTATAATGCATATGATGATATTTTATTTAACTTAGATATTAAGGACATACATATTTTACAAAGAATAAAAGAATCTTCCTTGTATTTCCTCTCTTTTGCTCTGACACATGTAATAAGAGTTAATGAACAACCTACATACAATACATATTTATTTACAATGAAACACACAAAAACTTATTTAAAAATGAACATTAAAAACTTAAAAAAAAAACATTTATCATTCAAATGGACATCAGGCTTCCCTATATTTTATCAGTAACTGACCCTGATGTGTATTAGAATAGTAGAAATAAAGTCAAGATCAATAAAGTTTTGAGTCAATAAAAAATAAAGAACTCAAATAGAAAGAAATGAAAAGTTTTTGAATATTTTTGTGGAACTTACTTTTCAGGCATGGTCGTGTAAATTGATAAAGCGAAGGATTTTATCATAGGAATGATTCTGGCTGGCAAAAATAGATTTTAAACCAAAGTTGACGATCAAATAGCTTTGCTGATCTTTGTTCTTGCTCAGCATTGTTAAGCAACTTGTTCTAACACAAAAGTCACTTAAACCAACCTTAAGATGCCAACAATAGCTTAGCAAAAGCACATATTGTCTGTGGCATAAACATACATTTGTAAAGATCTTTTGTTCACTTTTGTGAAACTCGAGATCAAGACGTAATTTGCCTACACCCCCGGAGACACCACTGGATGTCAAAATCTTCAAAAATTTATTCAAATACCTTTTAATTTAAACTCTTTGAAAACAACATTTTGAATAATCCGCTTCTTAATCGATTTAAAATCGTGGCGTAGTTTTATCTTTTGTCTGCTCAAGTAAATATTTTCTGAAGAAAATTGAAAATGTCTGATAAAATTAAATAACAAGTCTTCTACTTCTCTCAATAAGAAAAATAATAAAAAGTTTTTAAAATGATAGCGGCTGGATGTTTAATGTAAATTACAGTTTAGCAACTTTGGTTTGAAAAAGAAGATTGGAAAATTAGTTTTAGTGCTATATTAGTGAATCTTCTTGTGATCTGGAAGTAAGGATCGCATTCTTGCAATCTCGAGTCATGTTGGTCGATACCAATGAAATTCAGGTTTTTCGAACCTGTACAAACTAGGTGACAAAGTCAGCAACAGAATCACATGGAAAGTATTTTTATTCCAACCTAAGCTTCACATAAGAGGTACAGGAAAGTAGTAAGTCTAGCCTTCCATAACGCCAATCTAGTCCAAATTTAAGTACAGCACTGCCTTATCGTATCTTGCAATCTCCATTCAACGGTTTACTTTATTAAAAATAAATAAAGACAAAGAAAATCAAAGCAAAGACAACAAAAAGAGGACAGAAAAGTTTTAAAAACATCGCAAATTTCCGATAAGCTGTGTGCTTTTTATAAAGCAACTAATTAAATTCTTTGCTAATGAAATGAAAACATGGAATAATAATTAAATTTTGTATTTGCATGTTTAAGTTAATTAAAGAAAATATTCCATTGAATGGTCATTAAAAGCCAAATTTATTCTGCAATGCGTAGGATTTAAGTTTGTTTTAATAAACATTAAAAATTCAGCATTTACTATTAATATTGTGATGGAAATATGAAAATTGCATAGAATCCATTGACTGTAGATTTTTGTAGATTCAAAAATGGAGCCGTTCACTTATGACGTCCGAAATTAACGGTCATTTTTCAAAAAAGAACAATTTCCTGGAATTTCTATTGTTCTTTTCTTGCTGACCCCCCCCCCCCCCCCCCCCCTGGACGTCATAAGTGAACAATTAGCTTTAAAATTTCTATTGAAAATATTTCAATAAATCCATAAACAAAAGAAATCACTGTCAGATTTTAACTCATCGATCAAACTTCCCATAAAGCAACACTGGAAAATAGAAAAAAATGGTTAAAATTTACTTGATTATTCTTCGTTCAATCGTTGTCATATGGAAGAAGTGCACAGTTGGACTGTAAACTTCATGAATGAGTTTAGGATAGAGTATTTACAAAAAGATAAAGTTTGTAGTATTAATTAATAAGTTTGTAGTTATATTAGAACAAGTTTACTTTCCTTAAAGTCATGACGGGGAAAATTTTATTATTTTCACAAAGTTCTACTGCTTTTAAAATCACACAATCAAATCTTTGTAAGGTAAATCTAATAAGAATAACATTTAAATCAACACTTAAATTTAAAGACCTCGAAGTTGCATGATAAACACTCGAAGTTGCAATAAATAAATGATAAGCACTAAAATGTTCAATTTTGCCTGTTCAAGGTTCATTAAACATAGAAAAAAATATCTCGACTAAAATTAGCTCAAGTCAAACATTTCAAATGCTTCCTTTACTGCTCAGTAAATTGGAAAGAAAATGCTCAATGTGTAAAATTACTTCCAATTTTACAAATCTCGATTTGTTCAACGGTAATGATCTTCCTATTTATCTCATCCGTTACCATTTGCCATGCTGAACACATATATTTTTTTAAGGCAGTAATGAATTTTTGAACAATGCGAGAGAAAATAGATAAAAACTGTAATAACGATGTTGAGTACGAAAAAAATGCAAATGCTGAAAATTTTGTGTATAAACTGATGATGAATTGTTTTCAGGATGTATGTATCAATTTATCTGAAATTACATGTTGACATCATTTTGTCAAACAATTATCTTCAAATACAATTGACTTGATGCTGTTTTTATTACATCCAGTGTGTTCATTGTTGTAGAAAAAAAAATATTTCAAATATGTTCATAGTTTGTTGGGACTATTGAGAACGAAATTTCATACTTTAGTTCCAGTTTAATAAAATTCCTTTGTAAAATATGAAATGCAATAATTTTTAAAATCTATTTCTATTTGCATTGACTAGCAGCTATTAAAATTTGAGTTTTTCAGGCTTCCTGTAAAAAAATTTCTTATTTCCAAAGTACAAATAACTATCAAATGTTAATCCTTGGATATGCAAACAACATAATTAAGTGAACATGCAGCTAAGGATGTAGAACAAAACAGTATTTGCATTAGATCACAACAAAGATGAATAACTTTAACATGAGACAATATCCTGTTGTCTGCTACTATTATTTAAATGAACATTAGGATGTTGATTCTAATTCCCTTGCTACATGATTTTCATGATTTAAACAAGCATCCCTAACAGCTTGGCACAACTAAGTAATCACATTTAACTCTCTGAAATCAAATTTTAAGTTCTCCAATAATGAATTTCAAGCTCTCATTAGCACCTTTAAAAATCTTAGAATCTCAGCCATTATAATCACCTAACAATCGATTACTTGTAGAACCAAAGAAAAGTTCAGATTCGTCAACAAACGCAACAAATTTTAATGTCAAGTAGACAAATCATTGACATTTTCACATGACAAACTGAAACCCAGAAGACCATACACAAAAATCCTACTTCCTCTTGACAACTACACTTCCTCATAAATTATTATCTCAAATTTTTTTTACTCATCTCACATTTCAATTCCTTTCCATTTGGATACATTTAAATGTACGTGATTTCAAGTTACAAGTATCATGACTGTAATTTTTTATTTTCATCTCAGCGAACATTGACGTCATGATACTATCCTTTTTTTTCACTGTAGATTACGTTTGGGAATCAATAAACGATCAATTTGGGCATATGGCATAATGTTACAATAAGATTGGGCACATGATGCTTCATATGACACTCGATAGATACGCACTCTGTGTCGCTGGATGGGGGGAATTGCAGATTTAAACTATTCGCATCTTCTTCTCAGGAAATTGAATATGAAAAATGGGTTTAGGGAGTTTATAAATTCTCTTCTATGTTCGTGCATTGTTGAAGCTTTGCTTATTTACTGTGGCATTATTAAACAAGAAGTGTAGTACGTCCATAAATGAAGTGACTTAAAAATCTGTTTTTAAACTCTTTTTTGTAATTTTTTGGATTCATAGAGTTTCCTACAACTACTTTGGATCATCATTTCCTGCAAAAATACTTATATTGTCTGAACAAACCCCAAATGCAGATAAGAACATGGTGCTGAACTTGAAAACCAGCATGTATTTACATTTTCATTTAAATTTTATTCTTTCTTCATAAATTTAAGCTTTTTTTTCATTCTTTCATGCTGTTGGCATTTACTAAATGAATTCATTCGCATTGAGTGCTGTTGAATAATTTTTTTGTGTTTATATTCACGGAAGCTGCTTTATTGCATTTGATTTATTAGTCTCCCATATCCAAACAAACAAGATGCAAAAGCAATTAAATATTCCTTTAAAATATGCACTCGAATATGATGACTTCTGGCATGAAAAAAAATATTTTTTTGTGTTGTACTGAATTTAGAGGTATACATCTGGCATTGAGGCAGCATTCATGTTTATTCAGCAAAAGCATCTTCATAAACTTGATGGATATTTTTTTGCGAATGAGAATCTTAAGGAATTTTTCGTTGAATATTTTGTAAAAGTAATTCTTTGTAAATACTTAAAGAGACTCAGCAGCTGCAGCTGTTAAGATTAATTTAAAGCGGTTGAAATATTTGAGGGAATTCAGAAGAATTTAAATTTATGAAATCAACTTGTTACTTGGTTTATGCTGGTTTATGATTTATCGGATTAATTCTCAAAGTTATAGACAAATTGGCATGGACTACCATAGAAGGTTAGATATGCTGATGATCTAGACAAGTGTTGTCCAAACTTTTTGAGACACAGCACTCCTGAGTGGTAAACCATGACCGAAGTCGCAAACAGCATGCGCCTCGTGTGAGACTTTGATTAGAATTTGAACTTAATTTGTATACAATAGCTCACTCTGTGCTCTCCTTCTTACTTTGCCAATATCATTATGGGATGTTATTGCCTTAATTACATGATTTGGAACAATCCATACTTGCAAACTACAAAGATCACTTGATTGTCAAGCTAATTTTCATTCCAAATGATTTCCCATTTCCATTTCAATCAAAACTAGTTGAAGAATTTTCATCTTAAAACTTCTTCCATTCATGACTCAATGACAATTTCCTATTCAATTGATTCTTCAATTTATTTTTAATTGACTTGCAAAAAGTCTTAAGAAGTTGTTGAAAAACTTTCAAACGACTTAATTTTTCCTCTCGAGAAATTAAAAGTTTCAAATGCTAATTGAAATGGCTGCAATTTCATTACTGAAAGTTTCCAGTTACAAAAAAAAATCTGTTTTTCAATTACGAACGCAATATAATTGAAAATATGTTAAAGTAGAAGGAGCTGGATGTAATAAAATCCAATCGTATTATGGCTGTAAGGAAGAGGAACGAAACTGCTTATAAAGTTTTTATTAAATAGGATTTTAAATTGCACGAATTTTTAGTAAAGAATTTTTTTGTTGAGGAAACTGGGGGGAAGGAAGTGGATATTGGGATGTATTTTGAGGATAAACGGGATTTTCAAAATTGGGACAAACCTTTATTGAATTTTTGTGGAATCGAATTTGTAGATTGTGGAAAATTCGCACAACTTTACAATCTAGCGTTTGGGGAACCTGTTAACAGAAAACAGAAAAACAGCTGTTTTTCGACAAAAATCTGTTAACAGAAATCAGGTCTCAAAAACAGATCTGTTTTCTGTTTTTCATTTTTACATATAATTTACAGAAAAAAATTTTCTTAATTTTTTGAAGAACTTAATATAGTTTTCTAGAATTCCAAATTGAAATGTTTTTACTATTTTAAATTTTTTTTTATGTTTAATAGGTTTTAAATCATTATCAATTTTATGATTAATCATTACTAACTTTGCAATCGAAATTTTTAAATTTGTTGAACCTTTTGTAGCATTTACTAAAGTTCAAAAATATAATGAAAAATTTTACAAGATATTTTATTTAGAAAGATTTTTTGAATATTTCAAATAAAATATTGGAGTTTACGAAACTTTTACAATACAACAATGCAATGTTACTTAAAAGTATTAATTTTTTTTTTGATTTTTTTTTGCATTTTTATATTTCATTATATTTTATAGAGTTAATTAACGAAAAATTAAAAAATAATAATGCTTAGCTCTATAATGTATGCTTAACTGCTTATAACCACCAAAAAATTTCTTATCTTAGAGAAACACTTAGGATGACTCAGTTTATTTTGTATTCTAGAAAAACAGGAAAACAGCTGTTTTTAAAAATCAAAAACCGAAAACAGACTGTTTTTCAAAAACAGCTGTTTTCCACAAACCCTATTACAATCTTTCTTTGTTGATTATTATCAGGTGATTATGACTGATTCCGGGTAAGAACTTCATAATTTAATGAAGAAAAAATTGAAAGAAAAGAGTATTGGCAAGAATTATTCATATTCATGGATGTTTACTGGATCTTATTAAATTGAACATGAACAATTCTTAAAACTTATTGTCACAAAAAAGAAATCATGCCTCAAAAAAATCCATTTACTGACCCAACAATAAAATTACTAAATGCTTCAACAAATTTAATATTTTAATGTCTCAACTCCTTTTTCTTTTCCGTTCAAAAAAAAAAAGGCAATAAAATCGTAATTGAAGTTTTTTCTGAGAATAAGAAAAAAAAATCTTTAAACAAGAATGAAAAATTTGTCAATAAAGAATTCCAAATATGTCAAAAAGTGTATGTGACAATATGATTTTCCATATGAACAGTTTCTCGAGATGCTTTCGTCATAGTTTACAATGCGCATTGACATTCTTGTAAGGATCAAAAGATAAATGTGAGATTTGTGGTACAATGAAATGTCAAAATTGAAAAATGTTTGGCTTTTAATGTTGAAAAAGGACATAAGTAGAAATAATATATTATGTAATGAACCTTAACAGAAATCATATCTTAAGATTAATTGTAGAAGAATTTAGAATACTCACATTGTAATGCCTAGAACTTGAAAACTTGTAATCATCTATGAAAGTTAAAAAATATAATTTTCACCACAAAAAAACATAAGTAGGAGAGACTAAAGAATAAGAGAAATGCAGTAAACAATATGTTGTAAGATATCCAGACTAAATATCTCTTATTATCTCAAGTATGACGCAAACACCAAATATTCTTAACAAGGATACAATACGATGTGTTATGCGTATTCTTATTATAAACAAATCTATATCACCACATATTTTGCGAAAAAGAATTCAATAACAGCAAGTTGTTGCCAAACTGAAAAGACATCTTTCAATAAAAGAGAAGAAGAATCAGGAAAAGTGATTTTTAAGAAATTCGAGTGAATTCGTATAAAAAACATTAAATTAAGCAAGAACCGTAAGAACATCGAGTTCAGTAAGGCAAAAATATTTATGATTTCAATTGACTTGTTTTATGAATATTCTCATAAATGTTCAACGATGATGATGATTGAAGCATCAAATGTGCCGAAAGCTCCACATTGAAAACATTCGAGTTTATTAACTGCTGCAATGTTTCAACTCAATGCTTCGGAGCGCCACAAATGTCAGTCACTTTAAAACTTCTATTCACAACAAGCAGCACAAAATTTTAAAGATTTTAATTTTAATTTATTTTAAGCACTTTAAGACGACGACCAAGTTTAGAAAATTTACTAACCTTTACTGTGATGTGTAATTGACTAAAAACATATGGGCAATAGCTGTAAATATCAATTTAAATGTAATAATTTGACAGAAAAACAATTCACTTATTAACAATTCATCAACAAATGAAAAAATAATAAAACAAGCGGAAGAGAAGAAAAAAAAAATCAACATTGGAATTTAATATAAAATGTATCTCACACAAAATGCTCAAATACTGTCTGAGCACATGCCATGGAATCATGAGAATCAACTCGACAAACTGTCAGACAAAAATCCAATGAAGAAATGGTCTACACAAGTAGGATCTGAGGTATCAGATCAGGTAAATAAAGCAAAGAAATGGGCAATAAATTTAAATTGTATATTATTCAAATGTCAAAAAGATTGTGTGACATATTTTGTTGTAGCTACAATTTAAGTTTGTTCTTCTTACTTCATTCACATTTTTTTTTTAAATTTTGTTTGTCAACTTATCACACTTGTAGATTCAGCATCTGTGTGCGCAGTTTTTCAAAGATAAGCTAAGACGAGAAGGTTTATTGTCTAGGAATGTTTCAATATTAATAGAAGTACATCCAGCGAAGGCCTTTCATATCCGTAATATCTTAATGATTTTCAATAGAATGGCATTGGAATTAGAAAGAATGCATCCGAGGACGTTTGCGAATATATCAGTCGTACCTGAAGAGGCACCTGACTTACTTGAGAGCATTGGAAAGACACTGTTTAGACAAGAGGAGATTACTTGGGGAAAAATTATCAGTTTCTTAACACTTGCTTCTGCATTCATTGTTGATTGTGTTAAAAATGGACAGCATGATTATATACAGCCGCTAATTAATGAAACGTGCTTAATCCTCAATGAAGAAGCCGGCGTTTGGATAGAATCTCAAGGCGGTTTAAATTCGTTAATTGAACATATTAAGCCTGTTAGATCTGATCATATTTCCGTCATGGGTTTAATGGAAGTACTTGTTGGATTCCTTGTCATAACCCATTGGTCATGGAATATTGTAAAGTTTTTAGGTGCTCAAATTTCAAACTACTTGTGATTAATCCTTTTGTTATTAACAAATCTCTTTTGTTAAATTTCTGTACTTTTAATTGCATACTTAATATTAATTTTTTTTAATGGTGGTGTAATAAATTCATCAGGCGCGTTTTTGTACTATAAAATGGTTAAAAGTCTTGTGCAGTTTGGGTAGAGCCATAACTTTATAAGAGTAAAATTTGTGAACTTTCGGTGCAATCATATAAATAATATCGCAAAAAGACTTGCTTCTATTTTTAGACAGGAATAAATTCCAAAATTTATTCAATACGCACATACTTTAAGAAGAAATTGGCAGATTTTGACAGAAATGAAATTATTCTGAGATTTATAAACTATGAAGCATCAACTTGAGATGAATATTTTTAATAGTTACCGAGCACGTTCGTATGGTGCCTGAAGTGTTTCACAGTGCTTTATGAGTATAAACTGTATCATTTTTGTACTTAATCTGGCAGAATATTGGTTGAATCCTAGTGAGTCTCAATGTGTAATGAATCATTAATACAACCTCAATAATTTTAAGCTATTTAACATCATGCCTTTAATAGTTGCGACAGCTATTATTTCCAAATGATTCATGCACGCAACATCTTCATTAAATAAATATTGTAAAGGTGTTTTTATATTGAGCTGTCAATGAATTTGGCAATTAGTCGTCAATTACCAACAGATCATTTTTGTGGCGTTCGAATTGTGAATAAATCACATTAAATGAAGATGTTAAATACAAAAATGGAAATCACATTCAGACAGCATTGCTTATGCAGGTATTTAAGAGGGGTAATAGAAGTTTTACGACAATAGTTGAACCTTAAAAACAAAATTCTAAAAGACTAGATCTATAATGACAAAGTAATTCATATTAGGTGACATTCCTAAAGTTCCAAAACTATGGTTTGTGCTGCAAGACTTTTTATATTGAACATCAGTTAAATGCAACAAATCCGTACAAATAATGGAATTCTGTAATGATGTAATATCAAAAGCTATGCTTCAATTCTCCAAATTTGCTTTGGAAGGAATTGAACCTGCATCCCCACAAAAGAGCTTTATAGATATTTCATCCTTGTGATTACCATTCAACCACAAAAGTCTTACATTAGCACTGACAAATTTTCATTGATAAGGCTCAACACCTCCAATTCCACCCTGCTAAGAAACCACAGTTAACAACAGTCAGTGTTAAACACGTGATTCTTCTTTATTTTTTTCTTATTTTAATTCTTCTTCAATTATTTATAAAGGCATTGACACTTTCAAGGTCTATTGTGTTTACATTGACTTAGCGTGTCGATTTCATGGTTGATCATGGACAGTAATTTAATATGGCTTCAAAACTGTTAAAAAAATTATAAACGTCCTTCAAAATATTTCTTAAGGCAGCGACGTCTTTGAAAAATGAATTTAAAACTTATATTTAAAAAGTCCTACAATCAGTTCAACATCCTTAAGAACTACTATTAAAAAAGTACAAAAATGCGCCTCAAATGACTTAATTACTTACTTGTTCTGTTAACTGTTACCTCTTTCTTAAAAAGAATAAAAATCGGTGATAATTAAATTCAACAAAAAAAAAATCTTTTCATATTTTTCGTGAGTGTGAGTGAGGAAAGAAGAAAAATAATTTTTTTATTATGCTTATTATTACGACAATTTACATGATAAAGAAGTTAAAAATGTCTTAACAAGTTGAAATGTTGAGCAAATTACAATAGTTATATTAAATTAGATCACAGAAACAATATTTTTCGACAAATGAATCTTTTACGCATCCTTTTGTGTATGTGCTTATTCGACTGATTGTACCGGTTAACTTTGTTTCCTCATTTATTTCATCCAGCCTCACAGTCGCTTCAAATCTGAAAGGAGAGATGAATTGTTGCCATTAGAATAATGCTGTTGATGATTAAAGCTTTTATAGCACTTTCCCGCCAAAAACTGTGTGAATATTTGGTACAGCCATAAAAGAATTGTTCCATAATTTTTCATGAAGACATAAAAATCACTGATCCTTTTCAATAATCATAAAATTTGTTCCATAGCAACACGAAAATGCTCTAAAGCTCTAATGGCACATTTCACATTCGATCTAAAAATATCAACTCACTCTGATCTCGGTCCAGGTTTTGTCGTTATTTTCAACGTAATGTCATAAATTTTTTTCCTCCCTTTAGGTGGCTTAAGTGTTCGTGCTCCTTTCTTATCTTCATTAGGTGCTTTAAAGACATTATCATTTAATACGTGCATATGTGCTGATACGATTGAATTTAAGTATAGGAAATGACATGCTTTGTGTGGCTTCACAATGTCATTGATAGTTTTTACAACAAATCGTGCTGCTCTGGAAATTAAAGAAGATGAAAGGTTTTTAAAAATAGAATCGATTTTAAAGCTTCAATATAAAATACCTTTGAACTCGATGATCAGAACTCGACAGTTCTAATTTCTCATAGCATGTGCACCAGTGACTGCGTAATAAAATATGGAAATTGAATATTTTCATATGTAAATTTGGTTTAAAGCAACAAAAAAAGTCATTAACATGAATATTTTATCAAACAACTGGCAATAAAAATTCAACAACCTTTTTTAACAGATTGATATACAGCATATACCTTTCAATACCAGCTGAATCACACGTACGTTGCTCGGGAACTTCTAAAAACAAACTAATTCCCCGGGGCAATGTGATTCCACCACGTTCCATCAATTCTTCAGAACGCTTACGGATCTTCTCATTTGCTAATGAGTCTTCATCCAAATGTATTAAATCTTTGAGAGTCTCATAGACATCATAATGTGTAGTAAGTCTTCTGGAATTGCGTTTAAAATTTCTTACAGCTAATCGATATTTCATTTTAAATGATTTAGGAAATATTGCGAATAAAAATGCTGTGAAAAAGAACTTTTATTAAAATAATGGGGAAAAAAGTCATTAAATATTCATGGTGCTTTCATACCAAAAAGGATGGCGAGATTCAAAGATAAATAATAAACGAGATATAATAAAAGGGGGGATCCATTTAAAGTCCCCGTGTGCTCAATTTTAATTACTCCTCATCATATTAATTAAATTGAAAGAGATGGCTCTTGTCATGTGATCAGAGTGGTAACTGGAAGTTTGCTGGGGATATATTCTATATGACATAGTATGAAGTCAGCTTCCTTTACCAAACAAGAGAAAGTTGTAAGCACCTAAATGCATCTCTGCTCCCCATTCAATGACAAATTATTAACAGCATACATGAATAACTTTTATTTTATTATATCCAACATCACATCATGAGAAATATGTAGTTGCTGTTATGAAGAGGTTTTCTAGGAACAAACATTGCCATTTAGAGATTACATACGTTATGCATTTGATGAGATTATGATATCTCTTGAACAATTAATGCCATTTTCTCTTAATGCACTTCAAAATTGCAGTTCAAAAGATGTCATTGTTCCAATTTTATAGACTATGGAACTTGTTGAACAATGATAATGATGAATATCATCTTGTCAATAAGTAAATAAAAAGTTGAAATGAGTTTTTAACAAAAGGACGAATGATGATGAATAAAATAAGTTTTCATAACTTTTAAAACCTAATAAACATCCAATATACTTGAATGAAGATGAGAAATGTAAATTTAGAAATTTAGCTCATAAAAGTACTTTAGGGGTCGTTAATAATTGATGTCCTCAAATTGAGATTTTTAAAGCCTTTTCTTTTTAAGTACCACACAGCTTCAGGCGATATTTTACCTACTGCTTGAAAATATTTGACTTCGACAGCAGAGAGTTATAAGCTTCACTACCGTTGTTATGCATGTGGTCGTAAATAAGCATATTTTAAGCTCTTTGCATCAGGAATGTGTCGTGTTCTGAACAAACAACCGTCGACTCTCGTAACCAAAAGCCACTATTTGCTTGGGGGCCGTTCACTTATTACGTTACGCAAAAAAACGACTTCTTTCACCCCCCCCCCCTTGTTACAATATGTTACAACTCACAACCCCCCCCCCCCCCTTGAACGTTCATAATTTATTTTATTTTGATAATTTTTCATAAATCACAGTTAGAACGTTACATACTTCTTGACACCCCCCCCCCCCCCCCTATGTTACATTTTGTTACAATTTTTCAAACCCCCCTAAAATGCGAATGTAATAAGTTGAACGGCCCCTTGCTGAGAGTTAAATGTTTTTGGGCATGCAACACCAGAATCTTCCAAAACCTTGTCTTCAGAAGGCTGAAGATCTAATCGAGAATCTTACGAGAAAATAAATCCTCGATAAAATCTTGACACTAATTGACTCAATATCTGAATAAAATACAGAACTATTAAAAATTATCCATGCCTCTCTATATGTCATGCACTAGAGCATTATCATTCTATAGAAAATCAGATCGAAACTCGACTCCTTCAATAGCCTACAATTCTTTTGTATAATGATTAAACGATATAAAAGTCTTATCGTTCAAGCAATTCTATATTGAGGCAATAAACATTTTTCTCAACACGCATTAAATTCAGAAGCATTAAGGCTTAAGATATTATCTCGTGCCACTCGTTAAACTTCCATCCTTAGAAAGCATCATGAATAAGTAAGAAGAAGCAAATTATTACAAATCTATACTCACGCAATCTTTCTTCGACCATTCCCTGAAAGGTTGTTTGACGAAATGATCCAAAGCGCATGCCATGATCACTTAACATTAGTAAAATTGTCTTATCTAAATATTGCTCATCCTTCATAAATGTCAATAATTTACTTAAGTCATCGTCAATGAGCATTGGATAATTAATATAGTCGTGAGTCATTGAGGATGTCCAAAAGAACGAGAAAAATAATTCATTTGACATACTCTTGATGAACTTTCTCAAATATCCATCCATAAAAACATTGAATGGTGTTCGCTGACCCAGACATAACTTGTAATTACCAACTTTATTGTGTGCAATCTCTTTTTCCATTTGGTAGAGTATTGTACGGAAGTAGTAGTCAACTGGTTGCTTATCAAATCCACTTTTAAAGTAATTAAATAATGATAATGCTGCCGAGTCTTCAGCAAACAATGTGCTGTATCCTTTGTTTTTAAAGTCATTCCATACAAAATGGCAATTATCAAAATAGTATGCTGAGGCGTTTGAGGAGAGGCAGGCAGAAGCAAGTTCGTCTGATGAGAGACCAGAAAGAAGTGGAATCAAGTTCGGGTATGTGTTGTCATCAATTTTATTGTAACCGTGTAACTCGATTCCATCTAATTCTTCGACAACCGTTGTTAAGGTTTTGTTCATCATTCGATGAAAGTTGAGCTTAGAAACGGAATCAATGCCAATAATCATAATATTGTATTTGTCAGGATTTGCTTGCTTTGCCTGACTATTATTTTCATCATCATCAGTTTCATCATCAAATTTGGCAGGGAAGAAGCTGTGATAGTCGGTATAAATTTGTGTCTGATTGTGATTCTCACAAAATACTTGAATATATTCGGAATCAATTTTCGTGCGCTGTCCAAAGTGCAGAGAATTTAATGTCTCATTCTTAACGACTAAGTAGTCAGTAAGTCTTGTGAATGGTGCATAATAACATTGTAGTTGATCAGATGATACATTATAAAACTTTTTCAATTCAGCTTCTGTTACATTAATCCACAGGTATTTTTCATCTGATGCCGTTAATGGCGGTACTCCACATTTTATATGTTTTGGCTTGTCTGATGGGAAGAAACTTTTAATTTGATCTGACATCACATCCATCTTAACAATACGACATCCAGATGTTTTTACAAAATAATTCTCATCAATAACTTCCTCGACGTCATTGTAGTCCTCTTCTTTACTGCTAAACAATCGCGGTATTTTCGTGTAATGTGAAATGTCATCCAAATGATTTGACGTATAATCAATTAAGTATAATGATGATAAAACAATTATTCCTATAACTAATATGCGATATAGAACAACCTTCCTTATCATTAGTGATGTAGGCCACTTCCATTTGGCCTTTATGTTCCTTAATGCCATCATTTTTATATTCTTTCAAAACTTCATCAATTTTACACCAAAATGATTTTCTTTCTTTACGATACGTAAAAACTTTTTTTCTTCCTCTTCTCTTTCTGTCTTCAACTTTTTTGATATCTAAATGCGAACTTTTTACATTTGTTACTTTTTTAATGTTTATGCTTCGTTATGAAGCTGGAAGTTTTCAACATACACACACACAATATGAATCAGTAAAGTGACTGGAATTAAATTTTGCTCCGTTCTCGACAGGATGTTGAAAACATGAAACAAATTTGTTTTAACAAGTACGGAATCAAGGTAAAAATTGGATGTTGTTGTATATTTTATGTAAAATTATAAATACTAGCTTTAAATTTACTTCTTTATTAACAATCAACGATTCAACCTGTTCACTTTTAAGTTCCAATGCTTATTTATCAAATAATAAAAATTAAGGTTACTAGTCTACACGCGTACTTCCACAAGAATAAGATTTTCTTCATTCAAAATAAAAAAATTTCTGCAAACCAAAGTAAAATTTATTTTTTTTTGTGCTGCTGAAAATTTTTTCCCTTTTCATCTCCTCATCGAGATTTTGCGCGTTCTGCATCTCACGTACGTTTCCTAGGAAACAACATCCTCGGATGAAAAATTTTCTCTCAATTTGCTGTGCAGTCGTTTACTCTCTGTTTATTTTTTTACAATCACATGGCATTTGTTTTTGAAATTCATAGACTTTATATCCACTATGATAGTATTTGATGCGGTATTTATCAGACACGTTGGCGAGGAAATGTTCTAAATATTAGGGATGCAGTTTTCTTCAACTGATTTAAAAATTCAATATGGATTCTTTTTAACTTAGATCCAAATCATCTTGATATTAAATGTAATGAGATTATTCACTTTGTGCTGAGTTCCTTCACATCTGATTAACATAATTAAATTTTTAAAATGAAATATTTAAATTGATTCGTTGATGTTGCTTGATAATATTGCGTAGTAAGGAGCAGAGGCGTAGTCAGTCAGGTATTTGAGGTTAAAACCACCTTTCGACTGGATGCATCTTTTTAATGAATTAAAAGCTTTAAAGAATTAAAGAAAATATACCAAACCCCACTTGACTATGTCAACAATAACTTTCAAGAGAAAATAAAATCCAGGGGGGGGGGGGTCAGTAAGAAAAAAAATTGAAATTCCTGAAAGTCCATTTTCTTCTTTGAAAAATGTCTGTTAATTTTGGACTTCATAAGTGAACGACCCCTTACATCCTTTAAGGAAAATAACAACACATGCTTTCATCAAAAGTACTTACTTACAAAAATTCTTAGAAGAACAAAAATTTTCCGACTGACTCATCCAAAATAATTCAAAATTCTCTCAAGAAGATTTTCCCAAAATACTCAAAGGGAAATTTTTCCCTTCCACATCCACAAATTCCTTCATGTGAGTGCTTTAATAATTTACAATTCTCAGGTGAGCTCACCCAGAAAATCTTTGAGATTTATGTAACATTTCTTGAGGGCATGTATCCAATTATGAAGTACATACTGTTGTGTGCAAACTGTAATGGCGAGTAGTTTATGAATCTGTAGATTGTGTGTATTTTTTGGATGTTCTGTTTCATTTTACATAATATGTGATGATTTAAATGAAGGAATAATGCATTAATATTTTAGAATGAATGCGACATTATCTCGGAAATATTATTGAAATCATAAAGTAATAACAGTGTTGCAAATGTAGATGTCTGCACTAGATGAAGAATGTAGATTCTTCAATAGTTTTTGTCTAGCTAAGAAACTTTCTTCATAAAGATCGATTCTACATGAAGATAGAAAATCTAATCTACACAAATATTATTTCTACATAAAGATTCTGTCTACATAAAGATTCGATGTAGATGTCTACAATTCTACATTTTTTCCTGGTCTACATCAGAGAAGAATGTAGAATTGTAGACATCTACATCGAATCTTTATGTAGACAGAATCTTTATGTAGAAATAATCTTTGTGTAGATTAGATGTTCTATCTTTATATAGAATCGATCTTTATGAAGAAATTTCTGTCTCAGAATTTATCTGATCCAGACAAATCGCCAGAATGCAACACTGAGTAATAATGACTCAGTTCTTCAGTTTAACAGACGTTTTTGACGAAACAATTTAGGTTCCTTAATCAATAGACTATAAGTTAAGAGATATCAGAGAAAAAACGAAACTAAATGCATGTTTATTGACAAGGATCTTTATTTTGTATTGCAAAATATTTAAATCTGACAGAATATATTTGTTAAGCTGCTGCATTCTTAAGTGACATCCTGCTCATGTTTTCAAGAGACTTTTTTCCTTAAAAAATTTCAATTTAGTTTTTATTTGACCAAAATTATTAAAATTGGTGCACAATTAAGCATAATAACTCTAAGGGGTTGTTCACTTATGACGTCCATCAAAAAACCTGATTTTTAGACCCCCCTTCACCTTCTGTCACAAAAATTCTGTAGAAAAAAAATTCCATTGTATGAACTGTCACAAAATCCTAGACCCCCCCCCCTAAATGTCGGACGTCATAAGTGAACGGCCCCTAATGCGATTGAAAATCTATTCATTCACAAATTTAATTCAAAACACCTCAACAGCTTCTCTCCCAAAAACATTTGAAATGCTTTCAAAATCATCGTACAAAAGTCAAAGAAATCATATGTAAAATAGCTAAGCTATAAGAATCACGTTCAAAACGTGTTTATAAAAAAAACTGAAAATATGAGCTGTTAATTTTTATTGCCTTAGTGTTTTGATTTTTATGTGAAAAACAATAATTATTTTGGATGATTAAAGATGGCAATTTTGAAGGAATATGTTGTTTGTTGCAAATGGATATGAACTGTATACTTCCTTGTTAATGTAGATTCAGTTTGATCTAATATAGTAAAAAAAGCTATTTGTTGGACATTAGAGCTGCTGCCAATTTCCCATTGGCACATGATAAAATATTTTACATCCAAACCCTTCAATCAAACAAAAATCGAGACGAAATAATTAAAAAGATTTGAAAACGAAACAATCTCAATTCATGGTCAAGTAGTAAGCCCGACATGACGTTAATTCAATTTGTCTGAGGCTAAACAATGACAAGACATTCATCATTAATTTAATTTTCATTTCTTATTTTATTCATCTTCAATAATTTTTTTATTTTATATTTCTTGCTCTTCTCGTAAACGAAATATAATTTTAATATAAACGATTCAGTCAATTTAAAATGTGCAACTGCAAGCAAATAATAATAATAATTTTATAGACGATTCACTCGTAAACAATGACGATGATGATGAAGTGATGAAACTTTAAAATTTCACTGGATATTTATTGAACAAGATGCAAGTGAACGAAAGAAAACAATTGCCAGAGAATTAGATATGAAGCTGTGAGTTGAGATGCAGTGTATGCCCACAACATGCTGGAAAAAATATTTTTTTTTAAAAAAGGCAAATTTGCATTTCCATCATCGTTCAGTTTGCATATGCATGGAAATTTCTCTTTTTTATGAGCAGTACGGAGATGTTTATTTAAATTTAGTATTTCAAAATCTAAAAATAAAATTTGAGATGAAATAATGTGAAGAAGTAAAGGTTATATTACCGGTTAAAGAAAATTAATTACTGTGCTGAAATGTTCTAATTTTAGAAACAGACAATTTAATTACTAGCTACGGAGTTGTAAGTACTTACGCACATTTTTACTAACTTGTTTTCATGCCAAATGTGTGTTGTGATGATTTTATTATGAGATGTAAAGCCTTCAGTCTGAGATAGTGCTGGAATATTAATCTTAGCAGAGTTGCGAAACAGGCCACCTGTGACAGGTGAGAACCGTTCAATTCCTTGATAATTTGTATGGTTTTGTTAGAAAAACCTTATAAATTATCAAGGAATTGTAGGGTTCTCACCTGTCACAGGTGCCTGTTTCGCAACTCTGAATCTTAGTTCTCTCAATTTTATTTTTAAAAGATTCTCTTTGAAAATGGTAGACTATTTGGTAACTCGATTTGACATATTTCTAGACCGAGAATCACATCATCAGGATGACGACATTGTTGTGCTAGTTTTTTCATGTATGGCTTATCTGAAAAGTGCATTGACTCGGCATTTATTTTGAAATAATCTAATTTAGGATAAATTCTTTTGGATGTTTTTAAAAAGTATATGCTTAAGTGATTTAATGGCTGATTAAGGCTATTAAAAATTGTAGGCTACTTTTTGATCAAAGGTAAGAAATAATCAAATGAATAATTTCAACAAAAATCATCAAAATTGACCAAAAGTTTGTCAAAACTCAATTTGATCAGTTCTTTACTTTCCTCTACCTTATGTAAATGATTCATAACAGACCAAACGTTCAGTCTTTACTTCGCAAAACATCATTATTATTTCACATTATTGTCAAACTCCTGTAAATCAGTGGTTTTCATCAAAGTCATCCTATCCGATGCAAACTCAGTCTTTTAAACTACAAGCATTAAATTTTGTTTATTAAATTATTTTAAACTATAATCTAAACTGACATAGATCTAGGGTGGTCTCATACTAGATTTATAGTGCGAAAAAGATTTGTTCAAAACAATTCAATGTGCCACAAAAGCAATAATTAGTCACTCAAAAAACATTTCCATGACTCAGTTTGAACTCTTGAGTACTCAAATTATAATAATACAGCTAAAGACTAAAACATCCATAATTTGCTCTAATTCTATTCATTGATAACAAGTTCTCCACTTGAGAATCAAATAAATTCCCACAAGAGTACGGCGACTTAATTTCTCTTGATTATTTTTCCTATTTTTTGTGAGTCTGTTTATAGATGAAAGCAGTCGAATGTCGGTAGAATTTCAAAGCAAACAGTATTGAATGATTATTTAGAAATTAGTATTTTTGTATTGCATTGATGTATTTGTCGGTCTTTGATCTCTTTGATGTAAAGTGCAGCGTGGAAATGATGAATTTTGTGTTGTAACTTTTTGGGAAATGTAACAAAAATTTGTAAGATCCAGTTGGGATATTTTTGAGATTTCGTAAGATAAAATTTGAATTAGCGGTAAACAAAATTCACGACGTGCTTAATTTGAGTCAGGAAGGCAGTTTTAAAGTGAATTTTGGATATTTTGTGTTAAATAAGTCATTTGTATGCTTATTGGATCCAAAAGATATCAAAATATTCAACCGGATTAATAAACTAACCTATAGGATACAACTACTAACAATATCCTCTACATGATGCATAGCTTAACATATCCCTTTAGACACAATTCATTTATCAAGACTCATTATTGTCTCAAGAGTTTCCGTTACTATTTTCTTAATAATCCTTTCTATCCTTTCTTTAAAACAAAACCTCATCATTCATGCTTATAAAAGGATTGCCTTAAGCTACGCATGACGCATACAAAATCTAAACAAACATCA